CCGCCAGGGCGCGCGCGGCCCGCCAGGCCCCGCCCGTCGCCGCGCCGCGCCGCGCGCCGGGTGCGGTCGCCGCTCCAATAACGTCCGGCCGCCGCGCCAGACTTCCGGGGGGCGGGGCAAGATGGCGGCAGTAACGGCCTTACCGGTCTCCCTCTCGGCCAGGTTTAAGGGGTCCGTCGGGGCCCGGCGCGCTCGTTACCGGCTGCGGGGTGAGGGGCAGGAGGGAGCCGAGGGCCCGGCCGCAGCTCCCTGTTCGCCCTGAGGCTGTCTGCGGGCGCCGGGCCCTCCGCCGAGACCCGCGGCCTAGCGGCTGGTGCCGGGCGGGGGAGGAGCTGGGGGCCGGCGCTCGGCCCCTCTGCGGGAGAGCGGAGGCGGTGCCGTGGCCGGGCCCGTTTCGGGCGGCGCCGGGAGGTGGCGCTGTGGGTGCGGGGCTGGGGCTGTCTGAAAGCGGGCGGTGCCTCTCCGCCCCCGCTGTGGCTGCGGGTGCTTGGGGCCGTCGGTCAGCATCTGGGGGAGCGAGGGTGGTGCGGGGCGGGGCGTGTGCTTCCTGCGGCCTTTGGCGGGCATTGCTCCGTTATCGGTCTCTGCGCTCAGGGCTCCGGTGCACGCAGTGGAAAAGCTTTAAAAATCATTCTCCAGCATGGGTTACATACAGCTCGTTGTGGGATTGTGCATGTCTTGTCTACCTTCTTCTCCCCCCACCTCCCCCCCCTCACCCCCCCAAAAAAAACCCACAAAACAACAACCGTAACCGTTAATTGCTCAATTTCTATATAAATTATGTATATATATGCAATCATTTAATTTCACGTGTAATAGTAAATAATTCTTATATATTGGAAAGAGAGCAGCTCTAACAACCCTCTGCTAAATCATGTCCCTGAGCACCACATCCAGATGGTTTTTAAGGATTTTTTTTTTTCTCATTGCTGTCAACCGTTTTATGTGTGCAGAAACTGACTTTTAAGACTATGCTATTTAAAAAATAGTAGATATTTCATCACTTCATTAATAAAATTTTGATACTTTCCGTTTTAGATCCTTTGCATACTTTACAGTTAAAGACCGACTACCCCAGATCCTCACAAAAGCTATTGACACTCTGCATCGACACAAAAATGAGTTCTTTGAAGAACATGGTGAGGTAAAAATAAGGTTTCTGCTTGCCTGGGATTTTGCTTTTCCCTAACTATTAGAGATCCCTTCTGTGCCTTTGTGTTTTCTGTTCCCCTTTGTTAACCATAAGGTCCAATCTAAAAAGAAGTCCAATGTGTGATTCATTTTGGGATGTTATGCATAAAATGAATGTCGTTCACCCAAATGTGTTTGGATGAATCAAGCTCTGAGTTGTTCTGGGACTTGTGCATGGCAGCTAAGACTTACCACTTACTGATTTCCTGAAAGATTGCACTATGTTGCTATAGGAATAAATGTTCAGAATAGGAACTTTTGTTCTTTGCTTTTTTCAGAAGGGTGTTGAAGCAGAGAAGAGAGCTATATCCTTCCTTTCCAAATTACGGAACGAACTGCAAACAGACAAACCTGTGACTCCCCTAGAAGATGAGCTGCCTGATGCTGCCCTGTGGAACCAATACCTAGACTACCAACGTAATCTATTAAATGGAAACGGAGAACCAAGTTGGTTTCAGTCCCCTTGGTTGTTTGTAGAGTGTTACATGTATCGAAGAATTCATGCAGCATTAGCACAGAAGTAAGTATTTAGTTTGGTGTCTTCCTCTGTGTATGGGAACTGCTGAATCACGGCCTGAACCTCTGATTGATCACCTGAGGCGAGCACTGAGTCAGCCACAGGAGCACAGCTGAAGGCAATTCACCTGTGCTGCTGGAAGGGGTGGAGCCTGGCTCCACCTCTTCTAGACCTATTTAAGAGCTGGCTACCAGCGGGGAAGGATCTCTTCTGGAGATCCACTCTGCTGGGGTTTTGTAAGTGAACCCAGGCTACAGGTAAGCTTTCTATCTATTCTCTTGTAGTTATTATAATCTGCTTAGTCAAACTCTCTTGTTTATTTCGTAGTTATAACATCTTAATATTCACTGATTATATACTCTGCAAGATGGTATTGTTTCCCATTTTTATTTTGGGAGAAAGAAAGACTATAGGAAGTAAGATGAATCAGAATTTTAAGCGTTTACTGCATTAATTTCCCATTGTCTCACACCTCATTTAAAATCAATGTTTTCTACTTTTGTTCAGTAGATTTTGAAGGTAGTATTTTTTATTATGCCTCAGTTTCTGTCTTAGTCTCTATGAAGTCTCTCAAGTTTGACTGTTTAGCTTGACCTTGCAGACTACTGTATAGTGAGATCTTAGAAGTTATTTAGTATTTCTAAAAGTCTGGAATTGTGTTTTGAGGTATATGTGAACCTACCAATCTGTTGGGCATTCGAACTTGCTTTGCTACTGCTAGAAATCTGAAGTTCTTACTGCAGAACACCCAGCTTCAATAACCCATGTTGTTCATTCTGCACCATCATCTTAGTTTCAGTTGTGTTTGCAGCCCACATGCTGCATCAACTTAAGGAGCTGATCCTGGTTAACTTGGTAGGAGTTTGTTGTGCTGGTGCTATGGAGAGGTGCCAATACAATGTAAAGGGATAGGAATTAACTGGTTTAAGCTCAAAAGCTTTATGTGCTGTGGAATTGTCCTTAGCATTGTAGAAAGAGATAGAAACACTGTAATGGATTTCTTTGTTTCTGCTGGTATATTGCACGATTTGAAATCTTGTAGCAAAAAAAATCTTCTGGATTGCTCTTAAAACAAACAAACATTTTTCCTTAGTAAGCTTTACGTTTCTTGATCTTATTATTTGTCTGCTCTTAAGTATGTGGTTCAGTCATTTGTCAGAAAGTATAACTGCAGATATGGTTCTTACTGTAGGTTGATAATTCTAATATATTGCAGGAGTTGAATTATTTTGTCAACTTGATCATATTAATTTTTGGAAGTCTTAGTTAAAAGCTTCCGTAAGAATTACTAACCGCTGTAAGAGACTTTGGTATGGGAGATACACTTCAGTAGGCAAAAATCCAATTAAAAATGGGCCCACAATTCACTGTGCATGTGAATTCGCTGTGCTTTTTCCCTTATATTGTATAGTTTTATTCATCTGTGTATGAAAAATGGAGCTCATAATTGTTACAGTATGTGCAGTTGTGATAGAACACTTGTTCATTTTCAGAGTATGTTGCTAATAATTTCAAGATGTCCTGTGTGCTATTTGTTCCAGTAAGATATCAAGTAAGTTATCAAGTTTTTATTGAGATATGCAGGAATCCAGGATGATGAGTTGAAACTGGGAAAATCTAGCAGGAGTCCTTAATGTGGGTTAAAAAAGCTGAGCTCTGACCTTTCCTTCTCAAATGTTTCAAGTTCTAACATAGAAAATGTGGAAAGTATGTTAATACATTCATTCTCTTCTTATTTTTAGCCCCCCTATTGGCAGCTTTGATGTATTTAAGGAAGGAAAGGCTCAAAATTTCTTTGAATCCCAAGAGGCTATTATTGCTTTATGCACTTACTTCCAGGAACTTCTTAAAAACATCAAGGATTTAGATGAAAAGCAACTTCAGGGGGAACTTTTTAAACTACTGCAGGTAAACTTGTACTTCTCGGTAACAAATGAAAGCTTGAGGTTAGAAAGAATCTGAGTTTGTATGGAAATAAAAATACAGCTCTTATGTTTGTAAATATGTGATGAAATCCTTACATATGTACTGTATTGCTACTTTGGAAATGTTTATGTTTGGGTTACCTGTATTAAGTTTGGTGTTTTCCTTATACCACTGATGTTCACTGTGTATTTGAATACTTAGCTTGTTCTCCCTCAAAAAAATAATAAAAAGAAAATCTCTAAAACATTTGAATCAATTTCCAGATGGCCCTTTTGTTTTTTAACCATAAAATTTTAAAGCAATTCATTTTGCCATCACTTGAAAAATCTTTAGATGTACGTGGGCCAGAAGTGCTTTAAAACCTTATAACTCTTCTTGGCAAATAATGCATTTGGATAGGGTACAAAATATCATAGGATTATAAGTTATATTGTTGGCAACAATGCACATGAACTATTTGATCAGCCTTTGTAAGAAGTTCGTTAGAGTGTACTTGAAGTATTCATGGAAAAAAATATTCTAAATTCTGCTTCTTACTCAACTTCATCAAATTAACATGCTTTTATTACTCCTTTTTTTGTCTTCCCTCTGGTTTCTGGAATTACAGTGTAGAAAATATACATTACAAGTTTTTTGGTGTATTTCTGTCAATCTGAAATGTCAACTAACATGCTGATACACGTTTCTGATGCCTGCAAAAATGCAGAGCACTGTTTAGTTTCTTCCAAGAATTTTTTTTCAGTATTGAGATTATTGTACCGGAAGTTGAATTTTATTTAAACTTGGAAGAAAATGTGGATTTAGAGCCTTTATGTCCCTAAAATAGAAGCAAAATCTTCAGGTGTATGTGATATTTGAAATGTAACTATAATGAGACTTACCAACTGTGATTTTTGTGTCTTCTTTCCTCCCCCTCTTTCTAGGTGTCACTGTGGGGCAATAAGTGTGACCTTTCTTTTTCAGCCGGTGAGAAAAGCTCTCAGAAATCTAGTCCTTTACAATGCCTGGAAGACATGGTACCTTACATCATAGTGAATGATATGGAAAAACTTTGGTCACTACTTAGAAATGCCAAAAAAAGGAATACAGATAAGTGTACTGTTAGAGTTGACATAATCTTGGATAATGCTGGATTTGAGCTTGTAAGTGATCTTGTGTTGACTGACTTCTTGTTGTCATCAAAGCTGGCCGATGAAGTCCATTTCCATGGAAAAAGTATTCCATGGTACGTGTCAGATACAACAAAGAATGATTTTAACTGGACTATTAAACAGCTCCAGTCAGCTAATCATATGTGGATGTCTAGATGTGGGATAAACTGGGAGGGCAACTTGAAAAAGGGCATTTGGGTTTACCAAGATCACATGTTTTGGACTTTGCCACATATCTATTCCAGCATGGCCGAGGTTGCTCCTGATTTGTATGCTGATCTACAGAAGTCAAATTTGCTTCTTTTTAAAGGTGATCTAAACTACAGAAAATTAACAGGTGATAGAAAATGGGAGTATACTGTGCCATTTCATCAGGCCTTGAACAAGTTTCATCCTGCACCTCTCTGTAGTTTAAGAACGCTAAAATCGGACACTCAGGTTGGCCTGAAGCCTGGGCAGGGTGAACAAATCCAGGCTTCTGAACCAGAATGGATGATAAGTGGCAAATATGGGGTAGTTCAGTTTGATGCTACTCCCTGATTCCAGTTAAACGGTTCCTAAAACTCTTAACAGCCAGATGTAGAAGAGTTGTGGCTGTTTTTTTTTTCTGTTTGGCTTAAGCAATTTTTTTTGTTTGTTTGTTTGCCCTTTTTTCCAAATGATTTGTTGTTCCTTAAGACTTTGATGTTCCATAAAAATTTCTGAGCTGGCTTTGTATACATAAATTGCTCTGCATTTCAATATATACTTTTTTCTAACGTAAGTGGCTGATGTCTAACATGAATATGGCTATTATTTTTTTTCCCCTCATCTGTGGGTGTGAGAGTTTATGCCCAAGAAGTGAAAAATCTACTTCAGAAACCATTTTCTCAATCACATCTAAGCATGTATTTACTTACTTCAGGATAATTTGTTCTCTATGTGCCACGCATTGCATGGAAGTTAATATTTTAGCAAGTACATAAATAAATTCTTTTGAATGTGGTCATTGCAGGGTCATATTTTAAAACAATTTGGAAGAGTTTACTTGTACCTAGACTTCATCACATAATTACTTTTTACGTGTTGCTTGTGTCAATGGACAAATCATGTTCAGAGTTTTTAAATAGTTATCTTTATTTGAATATAGTTAGCAGTATGTTAAGATAAATGTTTTTAGTAAATATTGATTTAGAATTTGAGAACTAATTTTTTTTATTTTAAAATATGGATGAATGTTGCTATTTATTTTGTTGGTAAGAGGAATGTTATCCTATCTGGTAAGAAAAACAGTAGGAAAAAGGACAATTTCATTTTAAGAGGGCGGAAGGTATTATTTATTTAAGGGTCTCTACCAAAAACAAGAAGAAAAACAAAAACGACAACAACAAAAAACAACAAACACAAGCTTGAATTGAAGGTGGCCTTTACATTAGTGACTGTGGTTGAAGCATTTTTTCCTCTTTCAACTTTTATATATTTTAGAAGGATACCACAATTTATATTGGGGAAATGCAGCCCCAGTTGCACTGAGAAATACAGTGTATGTTAGAGATATATATACCATAAGGTTGCTGCTTATTGGAGTTACATCCCTGTTGCTTCTCCTACTCCAGTGTCAGGATACCTCACACTGAAATTGGGTGGGAATTCAGTAATCTTTTTGTGATTCCACAGATTCTTCCCCCAGAATGTAAAGAAAGGAGAAGGACTTCAGTAACTTCTTTTAAAAAAAAAAAAAAAAAAAAAAATGGATTCTTTCAAGTTTTAAAGCACTGCTGGAATTAGGGCTTTTTATAGAAGAGCTGCAGGTTTGTTGGGAAATGGTGGTAAAAGTCTGTCTTTCTGTCTGTGATGTTGTCCAGGGCTTCTAACAGCAGAACTTGCCCCTGTAACCAAGGACATTGTTATTGAAAGGAGGAGTGGATGATAGGTAGAGAATCTTCCCCTTCTGTTTTATAGATACAGTGAAATATTACACAATGAATCAGAGAACACCAAAGAGTCCTTATTTTACTACACTTGGAATGCTTTGGAAAGAGAATTAGAATGACTCTGGTGCAAGTTGGATTAAAAGAAATTTCTTCACTCATGGTTAAACTAAGACAGGAGTAAACTTTAGGTCTAAAGAATTGGAAGGGGAAGATGGAATATTTTGTAGCTCCTTTGGGCTCTGAGATAAAACTGGAATCCCCTTCTGCTAAGTGAAATCGCTGGCAAAGTATGCCTCATTTATCATTCTAAAATGGACAGCATCAGTTGCTGCTACAAGAGACTGTGTTCATATATTAAAGGTCTATATAGTAGTTGAATGTGCTCCAGTTAATCATGACTTTAATTATTTGTTTGTGGTTTTCTTTCTTCTGACATCTGAAAATATAGTAAAATATATTAAAGTTGCAAGGTCAAATATTCAAAAATTAAGATGCTTGGAATTTCTTGAGGCAATGTGATATTGGAGGCAGGGCTCTAGTTTTGAGAGGTGGGCTTAGTGCTGTCCGTCTGCCTTGTACCACTGGCTCAGTACTCTTAAAAGATAGTTTGGTTAGATTGCAGTTGGACTGGATGATCTTTAACATCTTTTCCAACCTGAGCAATTCTATGATTCTATAATCATAAGTCACTTGATTAGAATGTGTAAGTTAGAAATCCAGTTAAGAGAGCTGAAGGTCAAATAGCTCATCTTTGTCTGGAGGGAGCTCAAGGAGGCTCCAGCTTTGGTGCTTTGATAAAATACATAAACGTCATGATGAATTTGAGCACTGGAGCTTCAGTTTCTCATCTTTGAGAATGCTGTTATTTCAAATACTTCAAATTATTTCAAATGCACTTTGAAGCATCAGCTTTGGGTCAAGAGCACATACAAATTTGATGTTGTAGAATATGTGCAATAAAAACAAAATAATTAATGAAAGAACCTGATTTGTTTGTGTACAGTTTATTTGTATGGTGCTAGCTTCATCTGCTGAAGAGGTTGAAAAGTGTGTAATGAAGAAAAAAGGGTTGTTTCACTGTTAAGGCATTCCTTTGCTTAAGAGGCGAATCTATTCCCAGTCTTTGCAGATGCTGAGAAACTTGTTTGCGTTTTTATCTGGCTATTAATCTGTCTCTGTGTTCCCAAGTTGCTTTCTGGCTCTCTATTTCTGGAAACTCAATGCAATAAGTATTCTGAAGTTGTGATAAACAGCCCTACAAATTCTAAACCACTTAGGAAATGCATCAGTGGTTGCACAGTAGTACTGAGTTTTCTTGTTGGAGGCCGTTCTGTTGATGTTTGTGGGGAAGCAGGATTTCCTGAGTATTGTAGGACATGTAGTTCTTAGATTAGCACTTGAAATGTAATGTAAGGCATGATACCACTCTGAGAGGGGAAAAAAAAAAAAGAAAAAAGTTGTTCTCCAATTCATAAACTGAGCATATATTTAGGCCCTCATAAAGAGAAGTCTGGAAATTTACATGTGACAATTATACGAAGAATGCATAGCCATATCTTCCAAATAGCTTGACTTCCTATAGCTGTAACTGCAAAGTACCATTTATAGACAATTTAGTATGCATCATACCTTTCTGGTTGGCTGTATTGTTGTAAAATTTGCATTGCTGGTAAGGAAAATAAGTGATACTGAAATGCTAGTGTTGTATTCTCCTGTGCCATAATACAGTGTTATTCTGGTGAGGCACTGTTCTCTCTGCTGAGCTAGTTACAGTTCAATTGAAAATACTGTATCTACTTAGGAAGTCCAGTTACAGATATTCAGTGTTTACTTGTGTTAATGCAGCTTTGTGAAAGGGCAGCATGCAACTACAGCATTTAAGTGGAATTTACTGTTATTAGTATACAGCATTATATTAAAGCAATGGCTTATGCTGTAATACTGCATAGTTATTTTCTTGAGTCTTCAAGAAAGTTGCTTCTGTACATCAGTCATAACTGATTGCCCAAAATGCTTCTACAGCATAACTCAGGAGCTACTGATTTGTATAACAAATTCTTGAGGGTTTTTTCCCATATGCCACTTGATTACTTACATCAAGTAAAAATCAGGGCATTTTCAGTGATTCTAAGGACCACAGACCAGTGTCTTTTGACTCTGTTTTTTGTTCTACCTTTTCAGCAACTGCATTTGTAAATCAGTTCTTGAGAGATAAGGATGACTTCCATCTGTGATGAAACAGTAGAAAAATAGTGTCACAGGCACAAAGAAAACTAGTATATGAAACTAAGGACTTTACGCTTCATTAGGTAAGATATCTACAATAATTCTGTATGCATTTGAAGCTGTAAGATGAGGCTTTGTAAAATAGATGCAGAAAATAAGTTGACTGTGTGACTGGAAACTGTTTTAAGAAACAAATTCTGTAACTGTGTCGCAAATGTCAAACTTCATACTGTTTTAATGGCTGGAAAACCAACTTGAAATAATTCAGGTCTGAGTTCCTGGTATTTTTCCTCTGAAATGGATTTTATATAATGCCAATAAAGCTTATTTATCCACTGAAGTTTTGAAAGAAATAGATAAGAGTTCCTTATTTTTTTCCTTAATACTGCCATGTCTCAATAAAAGTTTTACCTTGTTACAATGCCAATATTGTTGTTTGTTTCAAAACTTTGAGAATCTGTTGAAATAAATGTGACAATTTCTTCCTAAGGTTAGTGCAGCTGGTGGAGTTTACCAGTGTCGTTTCCTAAACTGATAGGTGCTCCTTATGTTTTCAGCAAAAAATGAAAGTATTTCAGTGTTTCAATCCATGCAACTACAATGTTTGAAAAATTTTGTTTTATATGAGCTACTGATGTTCTGAAAATCTTAATTGTTGCTGTTGAAGTAGTTGCTTTAAAATTCATAGTGTATTTCAATTCATGGTTGAACTACCTAATCTTTGTTTGACATGAAGTATATTTATCCCCAGTCTTCTGTCAGCGTATGAAAAATATTCACTCTATTGCACAGAAATTACCATCATTATGTGGTTATTTTACTCTAAAAAATTACATTGTATATAACATAACAATCCTGAGGTGCAATTTTTTTATAGAATTGCTCATTTTTAATTCAATATTTTGTTTGCTCAGAAGCCTTGTCTATCCAAACTTACAGATCAAAAGTATAGAATGATTTTGTTTTAAGGCTGAAATAACTTATGACTAAAGAGTTTTGAAAGAAACTGAAAATGTATTGTTTGAAATGGTTTTTTTTTATTTCTATACAGTATGGCAGCCAGCACAGTAGGTGAGTCTTTCCTATACTGTGGACACCTTTTGTTGGTAGTGGTGGTTTGGTTGTTTTTTTTTTTTTTTTTGTCTGAAGAACAGGTCCAAGAACAGGTTTTCAAACCGTTCTTAAATTTAATAAATTTTACTGTAGCTGATTCAGATGCATTTCTATTTCTATTACCCCTGGAAATAGAAGAGGTACACTATTTCATAAATCAGCAAAGGCTAATTAATTTAAATTCTGGCTCAGTTTCACAGTTGTGAATTCTGCAAATAAATTCTAAGGAGGTGTTTGATATATACTTCCTGTACCTGTTTGGCTTATTTGTCTTTTTCTCCCTCACTTCTATGAAATAACTGTCATATTATGATTGTATAAAATAAATGTATTCAGTATTTCTATGCTGCTTTTATCAATTTCCTGTAAACTTCTTTCAAACTTCCTATGAAGACATTGTTATGCTTGCACAATTTTTTTCATCTTTTTCAGGATTCTACCTGTTTCTTTTAAGTCTTTAATGAAGTCAAGTATTTGGAGCTAAAGAGGAGACTAATGTAAGATATACAGACGTGTATTAAGGGGTTTAATGACCCCTCACAATGTCTTCTCCAGTTCATCTGAAGTTTCACATGGGGTGAGAGCATGGAGTTGAACTCAGTATTTCACAAAAAAAACCAAGCAACCCGAACACCTGCTATTTTGTTTAGGCAGAGGAAGAGCTAGACTTTATAAGGCTAGTAGATCCCAGAGTTTGTCTGCTATCAGATTTCCAATAGTACCTGGTACCAGACATAACTTACACAAACACAAACATTCGTAATCCTATTAGTATTCTCTCTTCTAGTTTTCTTGGTGATATAATTGCATTAATATCTTTTCTACCTTGAAGTCTGTAAATGCATCAAGAAGCTGCCTCCAGGGAGTCTCTCCTTTTAATTGAAGTCATAGTTTCTAGGATTTGATCTCTATATCAAATCATCTGCTGCTAGTCGTAAGCTAGACTTTGGTGTCAACAACAAAAGAGAAATGAGAACAAGTTCTGTCTTGATTTTTTTTTTTTTTTTTTTTAAAGGAGATATGTTGAAGATAAGGCACTCAGAAGAAAATTTCTGTGCTGCAGGATGTGATTTTTGGTGATGGGTAGTGGATAGCACAGGTTGGAGTTGGACACATTGAGTATCTGGAGCTGATACCTTTGTGAAGGCAAGCATAAGTCTTGGCTTATCATCCCCCTCTGACTTTCATGCCCAGTGTTTGTAAAAGTTGTTCTTGTGGATGCCCCATCCCTGGAGGCATTGAAGGCCAGGCTGGATGTGTCTCTGGGCAGCCTGGTCTGGTGATTGGCAAACCTGCATGTAGCAGGGGGGTTGAAACTCGATGATCATTGTGGTCCTTTTCAACTCAGGCCGTTCTGTGATTCTAAGAAAAATGTGTTCTCAGTTATTTTAGCCAAATTTGAAGACAGATCCTGGAGATTAAATCTACTCTTTCTTCTGAAGAAAGAGATTTCATTTTTTCTTTTAATGTTGCTAATGTAAGAGTCTCTTTTACCTCAGCTCTATTTGCTTTTGCATGAATGCCTGAAATGCATATATGTATTCACCATATCATTTGGAATTGATATGCATAAAGAAACCAAATACTTCACCTTCTGAGTATGTTACTGATGTAAATGGCTTGAGGTTAGTAGGTTTTCTTTGTGTAGTGTCCATCAATCAAGGGCTATCATTTTCAAGATTAATATTTTGATTCAGCCTTTTAATCAATTTTTATAATGTATTTTTATATGCCAATATCTGAGGATAGCAGAACTAATGAAACAACATTTTCTGCTTAAAGATTAGAGTGACTTTATTAAGTACATGAACTCAAGATTTTGCATAACTATTTTCTCAGGGTGATGAATCCTGTTCATGTATCTTCTGTAATAGAACGTGAAGCATTTCATTCAATGTAAATGATTCCCTGAAATTATTTTAAACTAAACATTCAGAACTAGTCTTTCTTAAGTTTTTATGTTCCCTCTGTAAAGAGAAACATTGAGTCCTTTTTGAGAGCTCTACCTGTAGAATTTAGCAAATAAGCTTTAAAATATTTTAAGATTTATGATGCTCTAATAAGATACTTTTTCTTCATGAAATGTCTTGAAGGTATTGCACTCCCTCAAATTATCACAGTCTTTTCAGTGGTGTATGAAATTTCTGCTTTTCCTCATCTTTATTCTTTCCCCTTTTGTTATTCTCACTATAGTTTCGTGTGTGTATATATATACTTGTATATAAGTGTATATACTTTTTTCCAGATAATTTTGTAGCATATAATATATGCTATCTCTACATCACTAAGGGTGTAGAAGTAGCTGAAGTTTGTCTCTTGAACCAGCTGTGGCACTGCAGGATTAGTGATGGGGGAAGAAATGCACTCAAGCACGTAAGAAAGTTGGGGGAAAGTTTCATAGTGGTTTAGCCACACATCTGTACAATGCTCTGGTAGTGGGACAGATTGGGCCGTAGTCAAATACTGAACAAGAAATCTTTGTCCACATATATGGAAGGTTTATGCTGGCTTTTATGTGAGACTACCTGTATGAATTCAGCCTGTCAAAAATATCTGCACTTCAAGCAATGCCACATTTTAAAATATGTTGAGTATCTACGTTGGCACTGCTGTGTGTGGATGGGAAGAATTCTGTTATTGGCAGAAAGAGTGACATAGCGTCAGGGGCACAGACAGGAGGAGGAAAAAAAATAGAGCAGACTTGTATGTTTAGGTAACAGCAAACTGTCCTTAACACAGTTTTCCTTTATGTTGAGCCTACAGCTTGAGAGTAGCGTACATGCGCATGTCTCTAAATAATGAATTGGTCATTTACAGCTCTCTTCTAAAAATGAATGAATAATAATACCAGCCCTAGCTTTTCAGTTTTCTTCTCTAGAAGAAGAAACTGAAAGAAAGTTGTCATACATCTTGAGTTCAGTGTGAGTCCAGAAATCTGCTGAGATTGCCCTATTCCTTGGAGGCATTGTGGCAGGCCCAATTAAGTAGCTCACAAAATCTCCACAGTAAGGGATATGCAGCAGCAATACACATATCTGGAGGTTTTTTCTTTTTTTCATGCTAGTTCCTCTGCTCCCATGTTTATCTACTTGATTTGGAAGGCAGGTGAGGAGGAGGGCCTCCCTTGTCAGCTTCAGATCTTTTTGCTGTAATGAAGGCAGCCTGCTCTCCCCATGCTGTGTGGAGTGCTCGTCTCACAATTCTGGAGAAGAGACTGACTGTGCCTGAGCCAAAAGCATGGTGCTGGTCAAACATCATTTACTCTTCACCTTCAGTTCTGAAGTTCAGTTCAGTTTGCAAATCAGAGAGAAACCTCTTGTGTTTTCCACCTCCTGCTGGTGGGCTCAGCTGCCTCTGCTACAGTTTTGGGCTCTGTTTTCCATCACCTGTGTGGCATATGACTCAGGGCTCCTGCCTGGCAGAAAAGGCTCTGGGTGTGCTGATTAGCAGCTGGCTGAATGTGAGCCCACAGTGTGCCCACATAGGTGAGTCAGCAGCAGCCTGTCTTGACTCAGAAAGCGTGGCCAGCAGGACTGGGAAAGCGATTGTCCCCTTGCAAGTGGCACTGGTAAAATCATACCTTGAGTACTGTGTTGTTTTGGGTTCCTCATTACAAGGACATTGGGTCACTTGAGTGTGTACAGAGAAGAGCAACAGAACTGGTGAGAGGATTAAAAAACAAGGCATCTGAGTGTGGCTGAGGGATCTGAGGCTGCTTAGTTTGAAGGAGGTTAGGGGGCATCTCACTGCTCTACCTGAAAAGAAGCTGTAGTGAGGTGAGTATCTTTCAGTTGACGAGTGATAGCATGAGAGGAAACAGCCTCAAGTTGTACCAGGTGAAGTTTGGATTAGATATCAGGAAGAATTTCTTCATACACATGTTGGTTAGGCATTGGTACGGGCTGCCCAAGGAGGTGGTGGAGTCCTCATCCTGGAGGTATTAAGAGATGATGTGTGGGCATGACATTGAGGGACATAGCTCAGTGCTGGGACTCAAGTTGATGGTTGAACTTGACAATTTTGAAGGCCTTTTTCAGTCTAAATGAATCTATGATTTGATGAAAATGGATTTGTGGCACCATAGTTTGACGTCGTGTTTTAAAGGGAAAAACAAGAAGATTGTGGCTGTAATGGGGAAGGTGCGTGCATGTTGACCTTACTCTTCAGACCCAATATTAGTGTTATTGAATGTGTGTATTCAGTACTACCCCACAACAAGTGGAAACTAGCTCCAGAAGAGGGTTGAGCCATAATTTAAAGAAAATATTGATTCAGTATGCATGTCTCAATATCCAACTAGATGACAGCGGTATTTCTATGTTTTCTAATGCTGTGGTGGGTGGGTGAGGGCTCGCATCCCGCCGGCTCCTGCCAATTCCGACTTCTACCCGGAGGAACAGCAATGAGAGCTGGAGGGAAAAGCGCGGAGCCGCCCCGGTCCCGCTGCCCGCCCGCGTTGCCGTGGGAACGGAGTCGCCGCGGCGGCCGCCATGAGCGCTTCCAGAGCCGGGTCCCGCGCAGCCTCGGCCGCCCCTCGGCTCGTTCAGGTATCGGCCGCGGGGCGGCGGCGTCTGCCGGAGTGGGGAGGGCTGCGAGCAGCGGCCCCTCTGGGGTAATGCGAGGCGCGGCTCTGCTCGGGCGGTTTTGGCCGAACGCCTTTCTTGTGTCCGGTAAATGCGTTGGCTGTTTCTATGGAGAGGCGCTCTCCATAGCCGTAAGGCCGGTTGTGAACCGCTCCTACGGGTTATCTCTTCAATTATAAATTTATTTCGTCTCGTTCTTTTCTTTTAAACAGTTTCTGCAGCTGCAGGGCTTTACGTGTTGGTGGGCACGTGCTTCGATCCCACCTCCAGCCGATCGTTAGAGCTTATCTTTCCAAATTCAAGGACGAAAGTTTTCCTTGTTAAGTGCTGCAAAGGGAGGGTCTGTCACGGAGCAGGAATTCACGGTTATCTGGGAATTATTTCTCTGTGTTTCTTAATCCTTTGAAGTTGGTTAGCTGGCTTTGATGTAGGTTTAAAGGAAACGCTCCAGGATATGGCTTGGAAAGATCCAGCTCATTCCTACTGAGGATACAGCAGGAAACTTGCAGCAGTTTCTTATTCTGAAGGGACAGCTGTCAGTGCACAGACAGCTCAGTATATCCGAAAAGCTGAATGGCACTCGTGTGGTTGTACCACGTTGTTCTGAGGCACGGGATCAATACACACAACCTCTGTTATGTAAGGTTGACCGCTGTTCTCTTCAGTAGGATTGCTTTGACCTGATTGCTGAGTTTTTGTTAATGCTGCTTAATTTCAGAATTGGCAGTAACTCCATCATGCATCCTGCTGAACTGAAGTCAGGCAGGCTGTGAAGGTAGTAATGCCTATGAACATAGTAAATAGTTGGTGCTCAGAAGTGTGTTGGTAACTATGTATTTATTAATTGTAGGACACAAACAGCAAGTACAACTGCAGCCCTCATCCATCTTGACTGTGTTTTTGTATGCACATCTAAATGTATCTCATCTCATGTTTGGCTTCTTCTGAATGCTGTAAAACACAATAGGTATCAAGAGAGAACTGCAAGGGTCACATTTGCCCATGGTCTGTTTTTAAACATTTTCTTAGCAAATCTTTTACAAAAGTCATTTGCCTTTATTCAACATTGGTGAAGTAAAAGCAGTAGAACAAGCAATCTATGGAAACCACTGGATAAGCGCTTAGTTTTGTTATACATTATTCTCCCCCTCTGTGTGTGTGTGTTTTTTTTTGTTTGTTTGCATTAGCAATTACCATTTTTACTATTCTGAGATGAAATACATCACCTTCTCCTCATTATTTGCTTTGGGAAAGCAGTGACATGAAGTGTCAGGAGAGAAAATTTGTTAATTTAGCTATGCTGCCAAATGGCAAAGTAAAAAAAAAAAATCTTAACATTAAGTAATATTTACATCAATTGATTTATCTCTCTCTGCCTTGAGGTGACTGCTCTCTCCTGTCATAACTTGTGTTTTTGTTTTTTTTTTTTTTTAACTTAGATGCAAAGTCACCTCACTCCAACACAGAAGAAAATGAAAGACAGAAATGCTTTAACTGCTGCTGGTAGTAGAGGGTAAGGCTGCAATGTTCGTCGTCATGCAGCTTTCATTTGAGCCCATTAATCAAACCTCCTCAGTGGAGAAATAACCCTGGACAGTGATTTTTATCTTTCAGTAATACCTTTTTAATGATTACTGCAAAGGGAGGATAGGGCTAGGCAGTACCCTTCTGAAAGGAATTTAGAAAATCTCTTTGGTGATTTGTTTGGGCTGTTCAGGACAGTTTAGTTTTGCATAGTAATTCAAGTTGACTTTTACACTTGACTTACTTTAAAATTCTTTTAAATCCTTCTTGGATTATGTGACTTCTTGAATATGCGTCTTTACATCTTTAACATGCTAATTATCTTAAAGATAATTGTGTGACAAATGTGGGATTTGGAAATTTCAGCTCTAATGGGCTTTCTTACATTGATTATTGCTGATGAACGAGACTCTTCATTCTTCAACCTTGCTCTGCAGTTATTTTTTTATTTAAGCCGTTTTGAATTTCTCCTTTCTATGGAGTCAGAAGTGACTGTGTTTGTTTAGAGAAGAAAATTTACATCCATACAGCAGTATAAGGATAGTTACTTATATAAATAATATAGTGTCACTGTCTGCAAGCTCCCTCCCTGGTTTTGGAGCCCTGCTATATTACAGAAGAAAACAAAACTTGGCCTCAAAGGATTTCACCTGGTTGTACAGTGTGAAACAAGTGGATAAGGTGGTAAGACAAAGTAGCAAAAAAAGATGGTACATGCCTTGCTTACTCCCTGAGAACTGTGATAATGTGTTGAGAAAATTAGGAGCCCTTTTATCTCAGAGATTGCTGGCTATGTGTGACCATGAGCTGTTCTGCCTGTATCAATTTGGCTTGATGAAAGTGGTGACTCCTTTGTGAAACAGAGGGCTAAGTGTCCTTAAGGAGATGAATGTGATTAAACTTGATGGATTTAACCCAGTGTCTGCTACTGAAATGAAGAAAGATTTAAGCGTTGACCATATTATAAAAGATAATCCAAAGTAGTTTATCTTCTGCTGCAGTCTGAACTAGTAGTTTTGTGTTATTCCTCAGGGAATTTTGTTATGTTTCTTGATAAGGGGTTATTTTACTACATGGTCACCTGTTTAGAAGACTTTCATTTTTTTTTTTCTGTTTAGAATGGATAGGAACTGAACTTGCAGTTTATCTCATCCTGGAAATCAGTGTCAGTGTAGAAGAAAGCAGAAGGGCTACATGTCACACTGTGTAACTTCAAGATAATGTGTGCAAGAGTTAACCTCTGGTAAACTCTGGGTGCTCCAGGCTTCTGGCTTAATGAAACCTTAAAGAACTTGGAACTTTCTTATCAAGCTTGTCTGCATAGGCAACACGTTGCCAAAGCTGAGATAAGGAAAGGCATCTGAGCTACACCCTACTTGCTTTAAGAGAGGAAACTGCTGACAGGGAGTTCTTAGGAAGAGCTCTGTAACTCCATAGGGGACAATGAAGTTGAAGTAAATGTTACTGGCCACGGTATGTAAGCTGTCAAGACTGCTGCAGTGCTTGAGAACTGAAGGAAAGAAAATGTGCTATTTTTGTTTTGTTTCTCTTGAGTGTTTTTTCTTTTCTTTTTCTTTCTCTTCTTTTTTTTTTTTTTTTTTTTTTTTTTTTTTTTTGTGCGGGTTGAGAAGGCTTTGAAAGTGCAGTGTTGAGTAGATACCCTGAAACACTGCCCAGAAGTTTCTGTAAAGAGTTGTAAGCTCCAATTGTCAGTTTGTATGTTTTCAGATTTAACATGTATTGTTTTCAGCTAGATACACACTCTATTAATCAGATAACAGCAGCTGCTGATTGTATCAAGCAGCTGGCATTTTATGTATTTCCTAGCAGTCAATTGTGACAACTGTTAAATGGTCGATGGGAAGTTAGCTATGTCAGCAGAATGTGTACTTCTCACACTTCCTGTAGATTTCATTTTGGGGAACTTGTTTTCTGACAGTTAAAAAATAAGAATGAGCAGGGTTCCTTATCCAGTGTCACCTTTGTGTGTTACAAGGAATTACTCATCTTGCCCAAGGAGGTTGTGGATGCCCCATCCCTGGAGGCATTCAAGGCCAGGCTGGATGTGGCTCTGTGCAGCCTGGTCTGGTGGTTGGTGACCCTGCACATAGCAGGGGGGTTGAAACTCGATGATCTTTGTGGTCCTTTTCAACCCAGGCTGCTCTGTGATTCTGTGATAAATGAGAGCTGTGTATTCTCTGCCTCCTTATTTCCATTTTGATCAATGTGTAGTTGTGATAATCAGGAAGCTGAGCTCTTTAATTACATTATTCCCAGGTTACTGAATAAGGTTTTGCTCTTCCACCTCTTTTTCAGGAGAACAAGGTTTAAAAAAAAAAAAAAAAAAAAAAAAAAGGTAGACAAAAGAAAGGGAAAACATCAACTGGTGTGAATTAAGCCAGGAGTTGTCTCCCTCTGGCACCTCAGACAGCTGTCTTTATCCCTGTCATTCTTAAAATGGTTTGCGGTTTACTTTGTTTTCTATTCATGGTGTCTGTAGAGTGTACAGGAGTGGGAACAGGCTGTTTGTGAGAAAACAATTCAGGCAAATTGCTAATGGTGTGTGCTCACTTTTTTTGTTGTTGTTCTAAGGTAAACTAATTCAGCTTCTGTTTCAATAAGGGTTATACGTTTTGTTACATAGTCCACTGAACAGCAACACTGCTTAATTTCTTTCTCAAAATTGAACACTTCTGTGAATTGTTCCTAGTTGTTTGTTAGTCTTTAGAATCCCAATGTTTTTAGGGAATGGCACTCAAATTAAAAATATGGCTTTCTTTTTTGGTGTATATGTATGCACATATGTGCCTCTGTGTGCTAATTAAACTCATAGAGGTTTTGGAGACACCTGATGAATCAGATCTGTCTAGCTTTTCTCTGCTTCACCTGCCCTTTAATACAACATTTGGTTGTATTAATCACATCCCTCCTTGTTTTTTTTCTGTTGCTCATTGGTGTTCATCAGGGAAGGGGTAGATTTGCATTTTACAATGCATACATGCAAGCATTAGGATTGCAATTTTGTTTCTGTCCTGTGTGGGAGCTGATGGAACAAAAACCTCTTGTTCTGTCTTCTAACATGTGCTTCCAGCATCACCTAAGAGACTTCTGTTCTCAAAATGTTAAATTACATCATTTGTAGTCATTATCAACTGGGGGGGAGGGGGAAAAATCTAATTAAACTCCTATCAAGATCTCAGGTCTAAATTACACCTTGAAAAATTCAAATAACAAAGGTTAAGAAATCCACCATGGTTGTGCTCTACTTTAGAAGAGCCATGCAAAAATGAAAAAGTGTAGTAAGAAGATTCTAAAAAGCACAGCGAAAAGAATTGAATTCTTGCAAGTGAATGAGATTGTGTTGGGAGCACAAAGCCAGCGCCTACCATCTGTTAGAAGCATGTAAGAATGGATGAAGAGAAGTCAGTGTGGTAATGGTGATTGCTGGGAAAAAAAACACCAACATTGTTCAGAAACCTGAAATTATGTCCGAACTTGATGGAGTCCAAAAAGACCTTGGCATACTAGAAGTAAGAGCACAACTGGGAAAGCCAGAAAGTAACTTTGAGAAGATCAGGATAAGGCATGGATTTGTCAACTTGGTAGGGAAGCAACAGAGGTAAGATATGAATGAAAGGCGCAAAATCATGAGGTGAAGACTGATGGCCTTTGCTTTTTGTCACCGTTTCTTCCAGTATAAAAATTAGAGAGTATGCAGGATGACTTCAGTCGGAAAACAAAAGTGGCTCTTTGTACAAGACACTTGAGGACTCTCTTGTCAAACAGTGTTCTGGATAAATGCTGACATGGGTCAAAGGAGGAATGAGAGAGGCTTGTAGCAGAGAGATCTTCAGAGTGTAGTTGGCTCACGTAAATAACAGAAAGGCCTTTCTCTGACCAAGGGTACTTTTTTTGAATTTAAATATTAATCTTGTAACTACCATGTGAATGACTCTGCTGATGTACTCTGTACTGTTTAGAAAACACTGAAGCAAAAATGTTTAAAATTGCAATGTTTAAGAGATTGTCTTTCACACTGTCTTCTCAGGAGTCTTGTGATCGCTTTCTATTGGATATTCCTGTCACCAGAGAGCAGATGAACCACTATCGAGCTGCAGCAGAGACTGCTCAGAGTGAACTAGCAGCACTAACAGTGAAGTATGACTATGTCCATTCAGAGGTATGCTTGAAACTATCTCCAAATGCTTCTCCAGATCTGAAGATTTTCTGTAGAACACTTTTGCAGAGAATAGAAAGTTTACAGAAAGTACGAAAATTCTTTGTTTTCTTACAAATTTTTTGTAGCACCTGAACCTTAAAAAAAAAATATCAATGAAATAAAATATATTTTACCATAGTTAGTTGAGTATGGGAAATAAAAGCATTCAATACTGCAGAAGAATGAATTATTAACACAGCGTCCAGTCAGAACTGCAGAGATGAGTATCCATCAGCTGAGCTTGTATTTGACCAGTTGATCCTGAAATTACTCCAGAGATCCTCAAAAGTTACCCAGGGTCATTTCATATTTGAGAACACGTACAGGATTTCATGGTCGCATAGAAAGAAGTTCTTAATGCAAATCTTGAATGACTTTAGTTGCCAAGATGACTGACTGATTTATAGACTCCTTCAGTGCTTTTCTTGCGAGGCAAAAGAATAGGCAAGAAGCAGCTGTTCATACTCTTGTTTAAGACCTTCATGACCCAGCTGAGGTCAGAACCCAGTTATGCTGAATGCTCTTAAAATTCCTGATATGAGATTATTCTTGTTTTTTTTCTTTCTTCTGCTATTGGAACTGACCACAGAGAGAATAGACAGAGTAAAAAATATCATATTTGGCAAATGAAGAGTTGAACTACAGAGAAATGTTAAGGTTATGAACAATTTAAGCTACCATAATTGGTCCAGCTGCCAAATAAAGCAATCCTATTGTTCCTTCAGCTGTTCATTTTCTTCCCTACATCGCCCCATCCCTTGCTTTAGTACAAATGTCTGTGTTGTGTTGTGGTGTGCTGGTATGGGGAGCTGATCCAGCAGAAAGATGAAGCCATTCCTTCTGGGTTGTTTTTCAGTTGGATCAGTTTCCTGATCTATTTTACCTCATTGCCATGTGAATGTCCCTGATACTGCAAAGAAAAGAGCAAATTATCAACGTGAAGCCGATGAGATGGGGAAGGGACAAAGCTGCTCTTCTCAAAATCAGTGATGGCTTATGCTAGCTTTAAATGCAGTAACTGTTCAGCTGCCTTACCAGCTGGAATTTTACTCTGAGCATCTTGGCTTTGCTCACACTAGAAGCTTTTTTTTTTTTTTTTTTACCTCTTATACTGCAGCTAAATGTCATAAATATTCACTGCCTTAATTTTTTTTGCCACATATTTTAACAGAAAGAGCATTTAATGTGGTTTAATTATTTGCATGCTAATCTTATACAGTAGTGCTATATGCAATATATTACTGCTGAGAACTGGAATTGTCAGGAGCTGAAACAATTCTTAGCGCCTCTTGTGGCAAAATTTTCACTGTAAATTGTGTTAAATCTAACAAAGTAAGACAACTGAGCTGGTTTTTTATGTACCTGATGCATGTGCCAGAAGCTCAGTCCTTTAGAGAAGTTTGTAGCAGGAATAATTCAGTGGAAATTGGTATTCTAACAAAAACTGGGAAAGGAAGATAAAGAAAAACGAATGAACTACGTGAGATGCTGGGAAGCTCCAGCATCATCTCTGGAACAGATTCTTGATGTTTGATTGTGGTCTTTCTCTTCCTCCTTTAAAAGACTGTCTTGCTGTTTCTCTGTAAGTCTAGCTATATTTCATTGAATTATCTAACAAAAAAAGTAACTATTTGCTTAAGCTGAGAAGAGGTTGCCTTAGAGCACAGCTCTCAAAAATTATCTTTGCATTTGGATATGCAGCAAGTCATCAAAAGGCTCCACCCTCACAAAAGAGGATAGTGTTACTGCAATAGGTTTCTGCAATGTAGACAGAGTAATTGTGCACCAGAGTTGGGAGCAGGGAGGAAGGCATGCAAAAAAAGAGGGAGTAGTGGTGTTAACTGCTGCATTGTATTGCATATGCATAGATGAGGTGGGTTAAGGTTATGTGGGAGAACTAAATACAGGCACTTTCTAAATTCTGATTTTGTTAACAGATTTATCTAACAGGCAGAGATTAATGTGAGAAATTGTTTGTGACATGACACAACAGTGACTTTTTATTTCTGTATATTCTAGTGATATGAAAATAAAGTTACCTCCTTCCACTTAGTCTCACAGTGGTGGAATCTTTTCTCACAGGACTGAATCTTTTATTCCAGAAGTATTTTTTCTTGCTATGTTATTGAAATTTTAATGTTTGTATTTTTCAGCCTGTACAAAATTATTCTTCCTTATAATGAGTTTTCTCGTTTTCTATTTATAGCTTCTTGAACTCAGGTCCAGAATGATCTCAAAAGAAACTTCCTTTGAAGAGCTGAAGTCTGAAGCTGAAAGCTACAGGGAAAACAATGCTAGACAAGCATCTCTCCTCTTGTCTTTGCAAACTCGAGTTCGGGAGACAGAAGAAGAGTTGAGTGTGCTTGTGGCTACTAAAAAACAGGCTGAGCTGACAGCTCAGGCAGCATCAAAGGAAAACTGGGAGCTGAAGGAGAAACTTCGTGAGCAAAATGCCAGACTTAAGTAAGGTTAATGTGAGATAAAAATTTCTGATGACAAAAAGCTGCAACGGTCAACAGAAATTAAGGTGGTGGGCAGACTTAATTGCAAATCTGAGTTCTGTTGTGTTGCTTCGCAAAGCAAATCTGAGTTTCTGTTGTGTACTTGAGTGTGATTGAAGGTATTGAAATTTATATCTTGGTTTGAGTTGTTAGACTTGAAATGGGGCTTTGAGAGTTGTGTCCTACAGAGAAGAAACGATCAAATGAGTCAGCTTGGTTAAACCACAGTATTTACGAAAAATTAGTGTGGAGGACTGTTTGGATGCAGCAGAAGCAATAGGTATAGTTTCCTTATTCAGATGTTTCCAAGTGTGGCACTGAGGAAAAAAGGCTCTCTGTGCCTTTCGTAGCACAGCTGTGATGTACAGTACCCTTAACTAAAGCTTAGTGCTCTGGCCTATCCTCATCATGTGCTGCCTTTTGGACATGTTACCTGTCAGATGTGTGGGCCACATAGTGATGAGTGGTGGTGCTGCTGCCCCACTCTCGTCTCTTTCCCCTCATCTGTGTCATAGCTGGAACTGACACAATGCAAGTGAATTTGTTTCTTTGTATACAGCTGTCTGTGAGGAACAGTGTAATGAAATTATGGTATGTTCTTACCTATACCATAACAGGGTAGGGTGTATCTATTTAGATATGTGTAACTTGAAGAAGCATTAATATGTTCCCTTCAACTTTTAAATAAGACTACTTTCTTTGTCTGACTTTCTTCCTCCTTTCTGGACATTGCATTAAGAGCTAGAAAAGAGTTAACCAGATGTCTGTGTTTCCCAGACCAGTATTTTGCACAGTTCTTCTAGGCTTTATGAGTTAGAAGTGGGTAACTAAGTTATTTTAGTATCTAGAGGAATCCAGTGCAGTACGCTTGTCTATTACCAGCTGAATTGCCAAAAGATCTTCCTGAAGAGTGCTAATGTTGGTGGACAAAGACTTCAGATAGAATTCCAATATAAACAAAGAGATAGTAAAGCCAGAAAGCATATTATAGCAGTTTAGAAAACACCACAATCTCTAAGAATACAGTTGTTAAGATTCTTCAGAGAGTTTTTTTTCTTGTTTGCCTCACTCACTAGGAGAAATCTGTCAAAATGTGTCAAAATTAACCTGTCATTACAGTGATAGGGTCAGTTTTGTGTAGCATAAACCTGTTCTGTATCTCCCAGTGTGGTCCTGTCATCTAGCTGGCTGCTCTCTTTTGTCCGTGTCACTTGTACCAGCACTTCCATTTGCATTGCTGCGTGGTTGTCCAAAGGGTCTACTCCAAGAGAAAAATAAACTTAGTTTAAAAAGCTTAATTTCTGGCTCTACCAATCCCAGGTCTAGTTAGCTGCACAACTTGGTGTACCACCAGACTGCTGGCACAAGAGAATGGTCAAGGGGAGGGTGAGTCTGTTCTTCCAGAAGGAACAAATGTATTGGATAAAACTGATTGTGAATCTAAGCTTTCAAAGCTTTTTCTCACCCTTAACTGATGGTTACAGGTGCCACTTAATACCAGTCAATGTATTAACTGTAGTTACTTATTCTGACCACTTTGGTTAACGTGTAGCTGTTCAAATTAGATGTTCAAGATTTTAATTCAAAACCACAGGTAAAAGGAAAGAGCAAGCCAGTAGACATGAAATACACATTCGTATTTTATACTTTTGGGATAGAGTTGTGTTTAATAAATTGTGTAATCAGCTTTCAAGATGTACTCCCTATTTAAAAATGGTACTTTTCTGCTCCACATGTGTATTGCCAAGGTATTTTTAGAGCCTGAACTGTGAAGAGCTTTTTTCTTTCCCCTCCCCTTCTCTATGCTCATTAGTTCTGAAGAGCTAACAAAACTGTGACAGAGCTGTGTTCTTTTTTTACCTGACTGCCTATCTTCTAGGTGCTGCCACCTTTAAGACTGTACCAAAGATAATTAGGCTATTTGTAGAGTTGTCAAGTATGTGCTTCGTACTTCTGATTGTTTATTTTTAGAAGCAGTCATAGTTTTGATGATGATGTACTTTGATGTATGGAGAGTTGGCATGGTTGGTAATCAGGCTAGTACAATATTCTAATATGAGCTCTGCTCTTAAATAATGCCTCCTATTTGATTATGTTGGCTCACAAAGTTAGAGGTGGATGTTGGTGGTATAACTGCAGAGGTTGAACCTTCCTGACAACATTCTGTTACGTTTTGTTGCTGTGTGACAGATGGCAGCAGAGGGGCAGTCTGACAAAATGGTGTCCGTCATGGAAGTATGTGTGAAGCAAAGGTGTGTCACTAAGTGGAAAAAATGGCACCCAGTGGCATTTGTCAATGCTGATGGAACATTTATGGAGATCAAACAGTGGCTATCACCACAGTGAGGTGGTATGTTCTGCGTTGCAGCAATAATGCTGTCCTAGCAGCTATGAAACTGTGAGTCACTTCAGCTGGTGCAGACTTTTATGAGAGATGTTGACAGCAATTGTCAACAGCTGATTTCCCTCCTAAGGCTCCAGTTCAAAGTTTTACAGCCATCTATAGCCAGTTAATGTGTGTTTGCATTCATGTGCTTTCTTTAGATGTCAATGCTGCTTTTTGATTATGGAGTGATATGAGTGATATTTTGTGCCTGTTTCTTTCTAGAGAGGAAGAAATTAGAAATGTAGAAGGATGAGCCCAGACATGGCTGACGTGTCCACCTTAAGAACTTAGTGCAGAGCTTTTGTAGGTGCTTAACAGGTTCAGTAAAACAGTTGCTTTAGTCAGCTTTGGTGACGATCATATCTTGCAGTTTGGTGATATATCTTGTTTTATTCCAGTGTTCAAGACTTTGTGAAGACCTTGCTGTAGAAAGTACCTTGTTTCTCACCTGGAAACCTGATAATTTGTTTCTTGCTCTGAGTGTACTTTTACCACTGATTATCTCTCTCTCGGGTGTAATTGGAGAGTGAATCCGAACTGAAAGTTGTCAGTGTTGTTTCTATGTTGTATGGCATGATCTCTGAGTGCTATTGTGATTAACAAGTGCTGTGGACGGCTTGATAGCAGTTCTTTCCTGCAGGATCTTTGGGCAGGTATACTGAGACTGATGTCCCAGGTGTGTAAGCTGTTCCTCCTTCTAATAAAAATGGTACAGGAGTTGATATTTGGACTACATAAATTATCATTCTAAGCTTTTTTGGGGGGATTATTTATGTTAGTTATTGTCTTTCTAGTTCTACAGGAGTAATGCTCGGTGTTAACAACATCATGAGCAAGATGTAGATCTACATGTTTGCTATCTATGGCAATGCATGTTTTCCAAGCTGGTCCCCAACTCTGGCAATGGGAAGAATATAAACAAACTTATACTACTTTGTGAGCTGTTTCTTCTTGAAGGGAACACTTAGAAATGGATACCTGCTGGTGATGTTGCTACCTTTAGCAGTAGGACAGATACGCGTTGTGGGGTATCTATCCAAATGGTAGGCATCTTGTGAATGCAATGAAACTGAAAACAAATAACTACTTTTTTGGCATAGTTTTGTGGCAATCCCTTTATATTTTCTTTCTTTAATGGATGTTTAACCTGTGCCCAACCTGCATTTTTTTTTTTCCCCCTCTTCACTTGCTATTTACCCTGCACTTGTGGGCAATATTACATGGCAGAATTCTCTGTGTACAGCAAGGCAGTTTCTGCTTTTGCCAGTGATCTTCCCCTCAGAAGTCTCTGGATGTCCAATACTTCCCCTGCTGTTTTTTTTTTTTAACAGCACAGTCAGTTTCATTAGAGGCAGATATGAAGTGCTTTTAGCGTATTTTTACTATAATTTGATTGATCTCTTCTGCTTAGTTTTTCTAAGCATTTGCATGCAACCTCCATTTCTAATATTGTGAGGGCTCTGTTCATTGATACTACCTGGTTCATGTCTTTTATGAAATTCTGTACTGAGAATGCAGTTGTAGAGCTTTAAAGTGCTAATCAAAGACAATTATAAGAAGTGTTCACACACAAAGCAACTAACTAAAATTATTTGTATTAATATATATAAAGAATTATATAACATGTAATTTTCATTTTGCTCTGTATGAAAGCCAGAAATCATCTTGGGATATGTTTGCCTAGAATTCTGTTTCAGAGAACATTTATCCTGATTTTTTTTTTTTTTTTTTTGGTCTAAATAGCAAATATTTGAATGATTGTGAAGAAAGCAAGACAGAATCTTATAAGATGAGCAGGAAGTATGAAGAGCTCGTTACACAGCTTTCTGAATTCTTGGACACAGACATCAAAGAAAAAGAGAAACCAGAGGAACATTTAGTGTTAAAGGTGATTATATGCAGGCAATAGTTTTTTTTTTTTGTCATACGTACGGACAAGATTTATTAAAACCTTTTACTGTGTTTTAGGGACATATACAGGAATAACTAAATTAGCTTAATTAAAAAAATGGCCTGACAAACAGAATTCATCCATCATAGAGAACTAATAGAGGAATATTTGGTTATCAAAGAAATAATGCAAGTGATGAAGATGGGAATTTTTGTGTTAATATCATGTCACTTAAGACAAGTTTTTCATGTTGGTCTGATTTTTGAAGGTGCTGAATACTAATTGACTTCAGTGAACTCAGTTTGGTCTTATCTGTAAAATATTTTATCAGCCTATAGTTCCTAAGTACAACCTTGATTAAATATATGGTTGAAAGCTCTTGTGAAAACATTAACAATGGAAATCACTAGGTGACATGTAAATTCTACTGCTTATTTTTAACATTAATCTCAAGCTGTCATACCATGAAGTAGAAACATCTGAAATGGTACTTGCTAAGACAACCTTAATCATACCCTTTAATGGTATAAATCACTACATGGTGTTTTGAAAATGTGAGCATGAAACTATATTATTTCTTTTGAGAATATTTCTGAAGTTCTGAAAACAGTGTTTCCATTTAGGAAAATTATTTATGTACTCTTTCAACTCTTCTAGATGCTGTTGAAGGACAATTTATCTTAGTTTTATTATTTTTTCCTATGTTCTATCTACTCTCTCCCTATTTTTCTTCACTTGGAAGCACACTAGGTATTTTGAGAATTTCTCTTTCATTAGATTCATACTATAAGTGTTCTGGTTATAAGGATCACTGAATGAATTAAGACTATCTAAATATGTGTCACAATGATTTACTACGGTCCTTGCCCTCATAATATGGCAAGCATACTCTAACAGTGTAATGAAACTTGCACGGTTATCACCAGAGGCAAAGATATTTGTATTAAGTTTTATCTCTTACATGCTTCAAATTAATCAAATAACCAGAGATTTTTAAGTATATATTGATTTTCCCCCCCCCCCCCCCCCCACCGATGTACTAATATGTCTAGTTGAGAAATCTATTTACAGCTCGTTAGGAAAACTTAGTTACCAGTCAAGGTATGCTTTTTTTTCTGTATGCACTCTCTGAAGTGCCCACACTCATCTTTCTTAGAAATGTACCATGCATAATGTACCAAAATAGCCTCAAAGGGGCCAGTTGTTCAGCACTGCAGCCCAGCAGGTATTTGGCCCTGCCCTTGAATATGCTCAAGAAATAGCTGTTGCTAACTCAAATTGCCCTTTGCCTAAAGTGTTTCAAGCCTAAAATACAGCTTTCAGTTTCCTATTCCAAATGAGAGGCATAAATCTTAGCAATCCAGACCAAAACAGTCTGCTCTTCACATGAAGATGGTTATATGATCTGTTTTCATTTTCCGACCTGCTCCACGTCAAGTGTGGATACTCCTAAGTGTCAGTAGCTCTCTACCCTTTATTAGGTCATACAGACTATGTGGGAGTAAAGCTGAATTACGTTACACTAAACAGATGTGGGTTTCTGTTGGAAATATGGACCTCCATTGTTTTTCTGCTCTTCTACAAATAAATAGTAATAAATAGAACAGCACAGTTATAAATCTGTCACAGGGGCCTTGGAAACACTGTGTCTGTATTAGGATGATTAGGAGCTGTATAGTGTGATGAATAAACATCATTGTTAAATGCTTTAACAAAGTTACCAATTGCTGAATTCTCTCTCTAGGCTTGTGAAATATATAAAGAAAATCTGGCACTAAAAGCTCAGGTTGCTGCCCTTCAAGGCGACATCAATGGCCATGAAATGGAATCCAAGGCTAGTAGAGAAACTATCATGAGGCTTGTTTCAGAGGTGACCAAAGAGCAGAAAAAGGCAGCAGGATACTGTGAAGACATGGAAAAACTTAGTAAGGTACATAACTGAATGATGTCCATGTTTGTTTAATTTGAAATTTTGAAGTGAAAACTAATTTTTGATAGGTGTTGCATGAGGAAAAACTACTTCCGATAGATTTTCAGTGATGAAGATCTATTCAAATTATTTTTAAGGTTATTCTCAACTTTTTAAAATTTTAAGGATATATGGAGATTAAACATCAACATGCAAGATAGGACTAACTTAGATTTGATGTCTCCTACATTGCATGCAAATTGAAATTCTTGCTTTCTTTCTGTTGTTGTAGCCTTCATTGCTTGCACAAAAATTAAGCAGATGCTTTTCCAACGCAGTGTGAATGTATGAGTATGAATGTATGTAAGGCACGAGCATAGAACAGTGGAATAAAAATGCACTTTAAGTAATATTTAAGTGACATTGCAATTTTTCTGAGGATTCTTTTACTCAGTTTCTTCAGAAATTCTAATGACATTCCAAGGAATTAATAGTGTTCTATTTTATTCTTCCTATTTCTCCTAAGAGTCTGCAAGTAAAGTGTCTTGGCTTTCAGACAAGCTAGATTATCTCGTTTCACTGCATAATAAACACATATTTCATAAATATTCAGTTGACTCATGCTCAGTAGGTGTCTTGTAGAAAAGTACTTATTTAGTATGAAAAGCCCACAGAGGAAAACCATTCAGTAGGAATGATGCTGAAATGAGAACTGTAAGTGAAGTTGTAAGTCAAGTACTTACTGAATTCATTTAGGTACAATTTGGAAAGAAAAGGATGTGATTTAAGGCTTTAAGTGCTCCAAGAAAACTTGCCATTAAAAATTTTGGTTCATTGTGAGGGGCGGATGAACAAAGTGAGCTATTGCAGCAGTTTTCTTTAATGCTTTGTACTTTGAGCGATATCTGCAAGAACAGTTCATTAAAACTATAGTGAAAACTTCTTGCAGGTACTAGGGCTAAAGCTGATGACCGGAACTTAAGAATATAAGATGAAAGGTTAAAGCTGATAAATATATAGCTGAGTTGTGTAAGTGAGTTTGTAGAGGTTTCAGTATAAATAAAACCTTGTGCAAGTAAGTTTTCAAAATTAATATACATTAACATTTTCTTCATCCCACCATTTTTTTTTTTTTTTCCTGAAAAAATGACCACAAATCATACACTTTAAAGGAGAAAGTGTTCTGATTTTGCTGTAGGCAAAATACTTAAGAGATGAAACAGAGCTGAAAGCATGCTTTTGAGAAGAAAGAATTTGTTGTAGGGAAGATAAATGCTAAGTACCACGAGGGCCATAAATTTTACTTACTGCTGAAAGTGTTTCTTAACAACCTATATAAAACTTCCTAAGACTCAAATTGCAATGAGAGTGAACCTGGACTGAAAGCCTAACTAGGCCATTCTGAGAACCTTTTCTTCCCGTATAAAAAAAGGGGAGAGAGAGGTGTGTGCTTACTAGGTAAGCCAGAATGGGGAGACACTAAGCCAGGATGAGGCTTTGTTTATAATTTCTTTTGCAAGTTTGCTCTGACTGCCGAAACTTTTCCAGAGTTGGATCAGTTAGCTGAAAAATATTTTCCTGTCATTACTGTGTGTGTGCCAAGTGCATAATTTAATCCATTCCTACAGAAATGTCCTACTAAATTATTAGCATTGCCTTTCAAATGAAGAGTGTGTGATCCTGGCTTACTGAAAGGTTGCAGATTCCTACAGTGCTTTTTCAGTTTAGCTGCTTAAATTTGCAGATACTGAGTAAATCTGCTGAGAAGGTTTTTGTATTTAAAAAAAAAGTATGTGAAGAAATTCAGTATGAAAAACAACACGAAACCCAGATTTTTTGTTTTCATATGTGAGAGTACATATAGCATTCCTACTTCTTCTGAAGGTTCTTGTTATAAAATCATAGAATCATAGAATAGCCTGAGTTGAACAGGACCCCAAAATCATCTAGTTTCAACCCCTTCCTGCTGTTGGCAAAGTCACAGCGTCCTGTTTATAGGAAGAGCATCCTCAGTGGTATAGAGTAGGTCTGACTTTTTGCTTATTGCTTAAATAAGTACATGGATAGAGTTGCACACTGTTCTATGCTCACTTGTGAAAGACCAGCAGAAATCTGTACTGTCACAGATAGTAAGCAGGTGTTCCTGGCCTAACAGCACATTGGCTATCTTCTGTATTACAGATAACGATGGTGTTCCATTTGCCCCAGCTTTCTCTTTCCAAGTTCTTAGGTGTGCAGGGACCAGCACATAACCTTTCTGTTCAGCAGTTCTGTCAATTTTCTCCAGCAAGACGCAGCCTCATTCCCCGCCTCCTCTCTGAACTGTTGCTAGTTTTTCTTGCTGATTTCTTGATGTTCCTTGGAATGTTTCTGCACTCCTTTTCTTGACTGGTTGCCTCTCTTTATGTCCCAGGAGGAAGCATCTGCCGAATGAGCAAATAAACAGATGATACAAATTCTTGATGAAGAAAATAATATCCAAGAAATATTAGCAGGATATAAGTTGTATATGTGAGAGTTATTCAGAATACCTTTAGTATATTTGATTCTCCAGTGTTTGTTGCAGTCAGTTGGTTTTCACTGGAGAAACATTAGCAAGTGAATGATAATTGTACGTGTTCATCTGTCAGCCTCGATGCATTACAACTTCAAAGCACCAAACAACATAAATATAATACCAAAGCTAATAAAAAGCAATAGGTAGCTACAAAGCTTTTTTTTCCCTTGTATTTTATTACTTTTATTTGGAATTTTTAACTTCGCAAACTGCTGACTGAATATTCTGAGAGCTTCCTCTTGCAATTCTGTAAACATTGTGCATATACTTACTCTGGTAATGCTGGATATCACATTTGACTTTGATAGAAAATTGTTTTTAAATGCTGCCCAGACTGGAACACCTGTTTTTTTTTTTGTTTTTTTTTTTTTTCTTTCTGTGTGTTCGGAGAGTAATTACTGGTTATTAGTCACAGAATTGCAGTGAAGAATCATAGAATCCTTAGACTTGGAATGGACCTATGAAGACCTTCTAGTCCAACTCCCCACCAATAAACAGGGACACCACAGCAAGATCAGGTTGCCCACAGCCTGATCCAGCTTTGCCCTGGAAGTCTCCAGGGATGGAACATCAACCACAACACTGGGCAACCTGTTCCAGTGCCTCACCACTCTCACTATAAAAGATTTTTTTCTCACATAGAACCTAATAACATTCTTTGATCACGTCTGTCAGTCTTAAAAATAAATAAAAATCTCTAACCAAGATTCTCTCTAATGCTTAATAAATACACAGTACTACACAGTACTGTGTACACACACAGTATAGTTAAACTATAGAAGGTGTGTATTCTACCAGATGGATTTGCCATTCATAAAGCATTACCACTGATGAGCCACAAGAAAAGGTAAATTCAGCTTGTTCTTTTTTTCCTCATCTTCTCTGATGGTTCAGCCTGGAAATATTTGTGTTTCTGGACTGTTAATTTAAGCATCTGTTTTGCAAAGATGTGTGTCACGCAATGTCTGTAAAAGTAACATTTGGAATATAATCAAGGAATACAGATGTATCTGTATGTGTTGCTGATGCAAAATTAATGTCAAAACAGCTTTTTATTCAATAGTAACTTGTATTAAATTTTTAATTAAATGTATCTTAAGTAGTATCTTACATGAAATTATTAAAATTAATTGTGTGAAAACACAGTCAATTAAAATTATATTTTTTATTATTTAAAGAATTCAAATTGACATGAAAAACATACGTCCTTTTCTCATATACCAAAATATTTCGATTGTAGGATATGTGACCAAATGATTTGATTTTTTTTTTTTTTTTTTTTAATGCAAGAGAATTGCTTTCTCAGAATTATTTTTAAGATGTCACTAAGGAAATAAATACTAGGGACATGTTTCAGCAGACTTGTCAAATATTTTCAGATTGAATCATCAGAAAAGATGGAAGATGAGAACATGCTAATTCAGAGGCCTTGCGATATTGATTGCAACAGGAGATATGGCTAGTTTGAGAATTCATCTGGAAAACACTGGCATTTACTTTTATACCTACTGTTCTTGTCAAAGTAACTTGCTTTTTTTTGTATTTATAATTGATTTAGTATACCATGATCCTTCATGAGGTGCCAATATTAATAGTTATTATGTAAGTTCAAATATTTTCCTCTCTTCTGAAGACCCTTTCCACTTATTTAACCTAAATGCTACACTCTTGGGAGAGATTAAAGTCAAAAGGCCCAAGCTTTCCTCTGCAAGTATAACAAGTTACTGACTTGTGGTTGTGACAGGGGTTGTAGATGAACAGATGCTGGTGAAGGAGAGCAGTTATTTAGGAATCTGTTGCATTAGGCCCAAAAGTCAATGTCTAAGCTGTGAGAGTGGCCAGTGGCTGGTGAGTAGGAAAGCATCCAGCTTCTTACTCTCTCAGCTACCTGATTCAAGGGTTGCATTTCCATGTTAACAGCTAATGTTGCTTCTACATGGAACAATGATTGTTTCAAATAAAATCTCATTAAATCCCTTTAGAAAATGATGCTGCCAGTGTTAGTTGCTTCGTCAGTAGTTCCTGACGTTCTTTATGCGGGACAGCTGCATTGCAAAATCCAGGCAAGTCTCTAGACACTGTGTATGACTGTTGTAATCAAGTATGTCTGAACTTCCAAGACACCCTCAGCTGTTTTATAAGCTTTCAAGTGGATACTCACCTTCTTACTGTGTAGAATTTCTCCTAATGCATCCTTATGCACTATTTCTCTTGACACCCCGTGCCTGTTCAGTGTTCAAGAGGCATTTGGGTAATGCCCTCAGTGACTTGCTTTGACTGTTGGTTATCCCTGAACTGGTCAGGCAGTTGGACTTGATCTTGGTAGGTCCTTTCTGGCTTAACTACTCTACTCTTACCGTATTCATCAGAAGTGATAAACTTGCTTTTCTTTCTCTGCTAAGTTGTTTGTTTTTCCCACTACAAGTTTTCAGTTTGACATTTCCATCTGGTTGAAGTACAAGTTATTTTTAAATCTGTGGAAAAAATAAACCCCACAATTTCTTTACACTATAACAATGCTACTAAGAGTGTCTGAATTTCATTGTTTTATTCTACAAATAGTGGGATCTTGACTTCACAGAATAGGTAAAATTTTTGTCAGAAATTTATATGGATTTATAATTTTCCCTAGATTCTTTTAGCTGCAAAGCTGATACTATCTATGAAAATAGTTTTCAGTAGAGATAATTCTTTGTAATTATGGAAATAGTAATTGTTTGACATTTTAAAAATGTCATTCAGGGTACACAATTGAGATGACACATTTTAATAACATAAGTTATAATTTTGATCGATAACCTAGCAAATAACCTCATCTAGGGGAAACTTTGTGAGAACTGACATTTGAATGAGGAGGTAAATCTATTCCTCTAACACCACTGGTGCAGCTTTCTTATTGCTTTAGACACAGCTGAGATAATTGATGGAGTTGGGTAATGCAGCTGTGTGATGAGGGACTGTTTATTGTAAAGTCTGGCAAGGAGAAGGCAAAGAAAGAAGTCTGACATTTTCAGCACTGAGTGATGATTCAGTTTCCTTTCCAGTGAGAAACTGTTTTAAGTGTTTCTCCATGAGTAGAAACAGTGGAAGACAGAAATGAGTGTAGTTGGTTCCAGAAAGATTGCTAATTGATGTTTCACAGCTCTTCTCTATGGATGTTCAATGGCAAGATCTCTGCAGTGCTTCTGAAGCTAAATGTTGTCAAACTTGCAAGCACCTGTGATTTGTTTAACGTATAAATGGAGAATAAAATGTGGCTGGATACCTTCTAGCCTACATATGTTAAAAATTAAAGTAAATCAAAATAAATTTACTCAGTAGTATAAAATTCAGCAAAACCATTGTTAAGGCAAAAAATTCACAATAGTCAGTACAAAAGGATAATTTTTCTTCCTTCTTTTACTTTTTTTTCTTTTGAGGTTAAGATGAGAGCTGATGCTGGAGCTAAAAATCATCATCATGTCATTTGCAAAGCCACAATAATGACTTTTAAATAGGGTGACATACTTCTGTGATGTCACACATACACAGTAGGAGAAAAACAATCTTTAATATCCTGTTTTAATCTAATGGATTAAATGAAGGCAGGGACTTTCTTTTTTGCAATACGTGGTTAGGTAACTGAGCAATTAAGTTCATGTTTATTTATACCCATAACAAAAAGCTCAGTGCTTTTGGGATGTGAACCTATTGTGTCGTCTTTGAGTCTCATTCAGTTGTGGTGATGTTTTTTCTATTAGAGAAATGATATTATTTTAAAGCAATCATGCATTGTAGATATAACAAGAATTTTGTAAAGGAGTTGGTTAACATACTGTAGTGGAATTGCTAAGCCTTGGCTTGAAGAAGTGATTGACCACCTGGTAGGAAGGTAGAGCCAATCCAAGGGGACTCAGGTGCATGCAGCGCACCTGACTGGTCACAATGGATGGAGCCTGGATCACCCCTTCCCAGAGATCATTTAAGAGTTGGTTGTAGAAGCAAGGGTATCTTGCTGGAGATCCCTCCCTAAATGAGGCATTCTGAAAGTAAGAAGATTCTTTTGTTTCTGTGCCTGTGGCTGTTGCATTTGAACAAGTTCAAACTTCACTTGCTGCAGCATAGGACCTTGCTGCTTTGTTATCATTGCTGCGCTTTTGATCGTGTTGTGGCATTACACATATGTAGATAAATACATGGAAAAGGAAGTGCTGAATAGATTTATATGTACAAAAAAATTGTAGTAAAAAGCAATTACACATAATGGGCTCTGAATTTGTTGTTATACATTAGAATGAGATCTTGATGTATCATAACTCTAGAACAAAATTAGCTCAGCAGCAGTAGGAAAAATAGAATATTATAAATCACTAGGAGGTAAGAGAAAATGCTATGATATCATTGCTGAAATTTATGGTGTGGCTACATCCTGAACACACATGGTTAAAAGAACATCTGCATACACATATGGAAGAAGGAATCACTGAGTGTTATGAAATAGAAAAGAGCATTTCTATATCTGTAAGTCTGAGTTGCAGTTATTTTGAGGTGAGAGAGAATTCCAAGGAAGCAATTTCTGCTTCCTTGGTTCTTCCTGTCTTTTTGAGAAGGCTGTTACTGCTTGCTGTTGGAGGCTGGCTGTTGCAATAAATAAACCTTTGGTCTGAATGGAAGTAGCTTTTCTCAAGTTTCTCAACTAGGTTTCGCTTTGTGTGAATTAATTATATCTCTAGAGAGGGATCAATAGAGTGAGAACATGTATTAGAATATATTATTAGCTGAAAGACTTTTAACCCTTCCCATTTTTCTTCTTTCATACATCTGTTTCTCCAACACAGTCACATCTCCTTGGCTGTTTTGCAGTGTTAAATGCAACTCTTTTATCATTTTCTTGTAAAATAGTCTCTCTCTTTCTATGTTTGTAAAGTAGAAATAATTTTCCCCACCTGTTGTAACTTGAGTGCAATCGACGTGAATACACCTGAACTGTTACTAACTACATTAGTTCTCAGGAAGCCTTGCTGATGGCTTGTACAGTGGTCTGGATCTTCTATCTTCTCTAATCTCAGGTGGAGCACAAACAGGTGAGCATTAATGGGCTCCGTCTAGCTGTGAGTGGCCAGCTGCAGGCGCAGCACTGTGCTGCTTAAGACCTTTTGGGTCACAGATAAAGTAAGAATCTCTGCTGCTTCTTTCTATGCCAGCCAATGAGTGTTTCACATGTGCCACATCTTGTGTCTGTCAGTCAGCCACTTGATACACTCAACTGTGTGTGTTTACAGATGTTCACAATTTGAAAACGAGATCGTAATTAGGTAAGCTCTCTGGTACAGGCAAACTACATTTACACTGTCTTTCTGAAAGAAATATTACAAACTGCAGAAAAATTTAATTGATGATAATTTAAATGACTTTTTATTCTTTGCTGTAGTTTCCATAGTGTAATTCTCAGCACGGGTTGGAATTTTCTATTGATAGGTCTTCCTTAGAATAAAGAAAATGACAAGGAATCATGGCAACCTTTGCTTTCCAAGACTGTTCTAAGATTATTTTAGAAAGGTCTGGTAACAAATAATGAGCTAAAATGGAAGCATTTGTGTTTATGTTTAGATGGTATTATTGTGGCCAGCAGGTCAAGGGAGGTGATCCTCCCCCTCTTCTATGTCCTGGTGAGGCTACCTTTAGAATACTGCATACAGTTCTGAGCTCCACTGTTCAAAAGACAGGGATCTCCTAGAAGGAGTCCAGTGGAACGCCACAAGGTAAAGGGCCTGAAGCATCTCCCATATGAGAAAAGGCTGAGTAACTGGGGTCTGCTCAGCCTGGGGAAAAGAAGACTGAGGGGACATCTGATGAATGTTTATAAATATCTGAAAGGTAATGGGAGGCAAATGGTTGAGACCAGGCTCTTCTCAGTGGTGCATAGTAATAGGACAAAGAGTAATGACCTAAAACTTAAACATAGGAAGTTCCATAGTAACACGTTGAGAACCTTCTTTATGGCAAGATTGATAGAGCACTGGAACAGTTTGCCTGGAGAGGCTGTGGAGTCTCCTTCTCTGGAGATACTCAGGACCCATCTGAACCACCTACCTGTGTGACCTATTGTAGGGAACCTGCTGTAGTGGGGTTGAGGGTTGGACTTGATCTCTTGAGGTCCCTTCCAACCCCTGTGATTCTGTGAGCAGCAGATAAGGGCGAGTGTAGGCTCTGTGAAGGGACACTAACCTTTACCTCATCAGATGAATTTTTCTTCATGTTAAGGGCAAATTTGCTTTCTTATATCACGTAGAATAATTTTTTTTTTTTTTTTTTAGGGGAATTGCAACCTATTGTTTCTTCATCTTATTGTCTCTTTTAATACAGCACTTCTTATTTGATATTCAATTGATATTTGAGCATTTGCATTTTCTTTTATGCTGTCTTAAATGCTTCCTTGTTTTTTTTTTTGTCTCCCATGTTTTAATGTATAAATCTCAGGACTATTTTTTGTCACATTGCTGGTAGGGTATTCTCAGAAACAACTTATAATTTTGCTAAAAACACTATATTCAAAGATATTATGTGTATTCATCTTTTCCTTCACAGGTTTAGTACTTTGGCTTTGTATTATATTTTATTGGACTTAAAAAGCCAATGGTTAATATGAATGAAAATATAATCAATAGTTTTGTAATCCAACATTACTTTTTCAGGTGCAGGTTTTTTTTTTTTTTTTTTTAAATCTACTAGTTCTTGCAGGTTACTGCAAGATGTTGATCTGTGGGCTGATTACAGCAGGCTTTGGGTCCCGATAATGTCACTGGGATTTTTCTTGTGAAACTTTTGTGTTGGGCCCTTGTAAGCAGCATAGATCTGATTTTTCCCTAACTGCAGTATCCACTTCTGATATACCCCCTGCTTTGTGTGTGTGTGGAGGAGGGACTCTATAACATTTTAAAATTTCATTTTAATCTTTTTTGTATTTTAGGATCTTGATAGTGCTAAAATGGCAAGACAGAGTTTGGAAATGGACATCAGAAACCTCCAAGATAAGTTCAAGGCTAATCAGAAAGCCTGGGAAGCCTCGAAGCAAGAACTTCATAGTCTGAAGAAATCTTTCAGTGAGCTGGATGGAAGTTTGAAGAGCAGCAAAGAAGAAGCCAAGACTGCTCAAAGCTCTTTAGAGGCTTTCAGACAGCAAATCGCTACCCTTCTCAGTAGCAGCTCGCTAACAGTTATACCCTCTGAGAAGGACATTTTGAAGAGAGTCCAAGAAATAAACTGCAAAGAGAAGAGTGAAGAGAGAGTAAGTCAGCACTACTGCACTGCTCCAGAGTGTACACTTATTTTCTTTGGCAGTCTTTTCATTTTTCAGTAAAATCACACAGATTTATCTGAGTATTGATTTCTTCTGCTTAGGTTTTGAAATTACAGAAACTTTTGATTTTGTTGACTGTTGATTTGAGATACAGAGCCAAAAGCGTTTATTTTTTATTAAGTAGAAAGATGTCAGAAATTAAAGTAGCAATAAGTTTGTTAGCAGAAAAAGGCAAGGATCTTTCAATAAACTGTCCAACTTGAAGTAGAAGCTAGCCAACATTATACCCATTTACAAAAATTACATGAGAGAAGATGCAAGAGGCTGCAGTACTCAGTACCTGGAAAATTCATGGTAAGATTGTCCTGGGTATTCTTGAAAGGCAGTTGAAGAACAGAGCCAATATTGGACATACTCTGCATGGATTTATAGAGGGAAATCCTGCCTTAGTAATTTGATCTCATTCTATGATAAGGTTCATGCTACACTGGTTAATGAACCGTCTCAACAGTAGAGCTCAAAGGGTCATAGTGATTTGGGCTACTTGTAGCTGGCTACTAGTAGTGTTGCCAGGGTTAAACACTGGGGCTGCTTCCATTCAATATTTTAATAGTGATATAAAGTCAGGAATGGAGTCCATCCTTAGCCAGTTTGCTGATAATACATCAATTTAGGTGTGCTGGTGACTCTTTAGAAGGACACGAGACCTTACAGAGTGGGATCTAGATGCATTGGAGCATTGAGAAATTAGTGTCAGCATGAAATTTAACAAAGGAAAATGCCAGGTTCTGCCCTTGGAATGGTGTAATGGTAGGCAAAGATACAACCTGGGAGGTGAGTGGCTGGAGAACTCTCATCGGAAAGAGATCTGGGGATGCTGACGACAGTCGGTTCAGCATGAGCGAGCAAAGTGTTCTGGCAGCCAAGAGGGCAAACTACATTTTGGGATAGCCAGACAACCAAAAGAGGTTGTTCTTCCACTATATATAGCATTAGTGTGGCCTCACCTGGAATACTGGGTGCAGTTCTGAGTTACACAAATAAAAGACGTGTTAAAGTCCTTGAAAGCATCTGAAGAAGAGTAACAAAGTTGGTAACGGGGCTAGAAGGCATGTCCTGTGGGCAGAGGCAAAGGAAGGATACTTGAGTTGCTCAGTCTGGAGAAAAGCAGACCAATGAGTGACCTCACTACTCTCTGCAAGTTCTTGAGGAAAGTGCTAGTCTCTTCTCCCTGGCAATCACTGACAGGACCCGTGGGAAGAGAACAAAGCTGCACCAGGAAAAGTTCAGACTGGATATTATAGAAAACTTCTTCACCATGAAGATGATGATGAGAGGTGATTGTTCCCCTATATGAGAGGTGATTGTTCCCCTATATTCAGCACTAGTGAGGCCGCACCTCGAGTACTGTGTCCAGTTTTGGGCCCCCCACTGCAAGAAAGATATTGAGGCCCTGGAACGTGTTCAAAGGAGGGCAACAAAGCTGGTGAGGGGTCTGGAACACAGGCCATATGAGGAGAGGCTGAAGGAGCTGGGAATGTTCAGCCTGGAGAAGAGGAGGCTCAGGGGAGACCTTATTGCTCTCTATAACTTCCTGAAGGGAGGTTGTAGTGAGCTGGGGGTCGGCCTCTTCTCTCGTGTCATTAGTGATAGGACCAGGGGGAATGGTTTCAAGCTACGGCAGAGGAGATTCAGGCTGGACATGAGGAAGTATTACTTTTCAGAAAGGGTGGTCAGGCACTGGAATGGACTGCCCAGGGAGGTGGTGGAATCACCGACCCTGGGGGTGTTCAAGGAAAGGCTGGATGTTGTGTTGAGGGACATGGTTTAGTAGGAGCTATTGGGAATAGGTGAACGGTTGGACTGGGTGATCTTTTAGGTCTTTTCCAACCTTAGTGATTCTATGATTCTATGATTCTATGATCAAGCACTGGAATAGGATTTCCAGAGAGATCGTTGATGCTCCACATCTGTCAGTGTTCAAGAGGCACTGGGACAATGTCCTCAATAATATGCTTTAATTTTTTTCTCAGCCATGAAGTGGTCAGAGAGTTGGAGTAATGATCTCTGAAAGTTCAATTGAATTGTTCTGTTCTGAATGGGAGTCATTAAATTTATTGGCAGTTTAAATTGATCTGCAGTACTGCTGCTGCTCAAGATAGGTAATTTCAAGATTAGCCCTATTGTGAGTACAACCCAGAAGTAAGAGCAGGACAGGTAGATATGAGCCTAGCAGCTAAGTATCTTGATGCTGGAAAGTAAAAATGTGCTGATGAATCAAGTCTTGCATAAGGGAAGAAGTGTTGGAATTGAAATTTTTTATTCTCTGTCAGGATGTTTCTATAAGCAACTTGCAAACTAGATAATTAGGATCAGGAAAGGACAGTGGAAAAGAGAATGCAAAAATATAGGAGGGAGAAAAATACATTTTCGAGTTTGAGTCTTTTGATGCCTACCCTAGAAAGCTTCTTTTGTTTTTACCAAAAAAAAAAAAAAAAAGCTTTTGTTTTTTAAATCATTACTGCTTCTCCTCTGGGCATCTGGTGTACGGGATCATGCTGTCAGGGCTGCTGTCAGCAGAATGTTCAACTTTGCATCTGCTGTGTTTGACTTACCCCTGTATGTGCACTGGTCAAATGGACCTGTGAAGAGTTGGAATTTTAGGATGCCAGTGAGAAATTTTATTCACTGTATCTGCAGTAAGATTTTCTGTTAAATCTGAAATGCTCTTGCAGATTGTCTCAAATTGTGGTGATTTAGGCATCTGAACAGCTTCTGAGATCTTAATAAGCTGTATAGTAGCTGTTAACATTAATTTTTTTTAAAAAAAAGAATCCCAGCATATACTGTAACAAGGTCCAGTGATAGATATTCTGTTGCAGGGCTAAGATACTACTTTGAATCACTATTACAGCAGTTATAATAAAATGTACATTGAATGTTTGGGCATCTCTCAGGTTTTTTTTGTAATTAATTATTTATGACATACCAAAAAGGTTCATAGGGAGCTGACATCCATGGCAAGCAAATGTCATCAGTTCACACAGAACTCAGCACTGCTATGAGATCTCTGAGCTCAGGTTCATTGCAGATTTATTGCAGCAAATTCAATTCATATGGTTGAAATTATTTCTCTTGACTACCCACCTATCTGACCTCAGACAGGAATGGCTGACCAGATAGTAGATTATTTCGTTTATATCAGTTTTTGCTTCTTGATATAACAGATGACTCATAAGTGCTGAAACTGATTACTGTGCTGAAACTCTTATTACTGTGCTCATTACAATCTCCTGTTCTCTCATTAACAAGTCTTCTAATGATTTGTCATGTCATTCTCATAAATGCATATTTAATATTAGGATTTACCTGCTTTTCTTTTGTTGACACAATATTCCTGTACTGAGAATCAAGATTTTTGCTATACACAGGAATGTTTGTGAACATTGCAATTTACAGTACCATCTTCATAATATTTTGAGGAAGATGGGCCCTGCATGTGCTTCTTTCTTTGTTCTAAACAAAAGAATGTGTGGGAAATGAATTATATTCATGCACACAGAGTAATGTGCGCAGTGGCTTTCAGCTGACCAAAAAACCCTAACCAAATGGAATGTGAGAAAGTATTAGGACAAAAAAGTTAAAATTTAAAACATAATTATGCCACACTATATATCCATGGCTGCTGTATTCTGTGCAGCATATAAAGTTATGATAATGTAATTATGTTTAAAAAGGGCTTTTAAATAATGCAGGAAAAGACTGTGATTGTGTCTAGAGGCTTCCATGCAGTACAAGATGAGCTCAGCTTGGGATGGTGAGTGCAATGCAGAATAGAGTTATCAGCTATGAGAGGAAAAAAAAAAAAAACACAAAAAAAACAACAAACAAACAAAAAAAAAACCGTGCATATAAAACAGGAAGTTTAAGATAACATCTTACCAAACCAGAATAGTTCCAGTGGGGATGAACCCAGCTATCCCCAAGATGTCTCTGAAAATTTTGAATTTCTTGTAACTCAAGAAACAAAAGGAACCTTTCTAAAATAATCTGGTAGTTATACCAGGAGAAGGAGCAGGAAATGTGCGTGGTGCACAAATGATGGGCACAGGAGGTTAAGATCATAGAATTATAAAATATCCAGAGTTGGAAGGGACCAGCTCCTGGCTCTGTGCTGCACCACCCAAAATTCAAACCTTATGCCTGAGAGTGCTGTCCAAATGCTTGAACTCTGTCAGCTTGGGGTCATGCCCACTGCCCTGGGCAGCCTGTTCCATGGCCGTTGCCCTCTGGTGAAGAACCTTTCCCTAACACCCAGCCTGACCCTCTCCTGATGTAGCTCTTGTGCCATTATGGGGAGATCAGGACCACAGGAACAAAAAATGTATCCTAATTAACTGAATACAGGCACAGGATGCACCTCTGTTTTAGGAAATACCCGAACTGTTGACTGTTCCTGTGTCAGGGATGAAGGTTACTCTTGGATGCTCTTGCAGATAAACTAACAGTGTTGATTTTGGTCTCCTTCTGTTTCTGTGGTCTCTTGGGACCTTCATAACCCATGTGGCCAGGCTGTGCGCACAGCCCCTCTGCAACCTGGGAAGGGATCCTGTGCCCACAGGCAGACACTCAAGCTACTGAAAACAGTTTCTTCTGCTGGGTGACATACAGTGCAGAAAAGTGTGAAATATGTATAAGTGTACTTGCAGTTTTATTGCAGTTTAGAGTTTACTGAAGTTTAGTATTTTCTACTGCTGTACAAGCAGCAGTAATTTCTCAGTTGTTTCTTAGGTAGTTAGGATGTAAACTATTGTGTGTATTGAATTATGATCTAAGTTGGAAACCTTTCTGTGCCATTAAAATTAATGGGAGTGTTGTGTGCGTGTTATTCGTTTTATCAGTGTGAGGCAGAGGAGTTTAAAATGAAGAGACAAATGAAGAGGAGTACCTGAGTTACAAACACAATGTAATAATTCATCTAAGCAGAGGCTTATATGACAGTAGGAAAAGGAGAGATGGAAAGAAGGAAGCAAGCAACTTTTTGGATGAAATTGAGCCTTCCATTAATTGGCAGAAGTGTAACCAGATGCTTTCAAGTATTATATTATTTATAAGTAGTTTAAACTTAAAAGCCAATATGTTTTAAGTAAGTTATGCAGAGTTAACATAGTGCTTGAAGTGTTTTCAGAAGGACTAATCTAGTTTCTTGTTGTACAGTTATATGCTTCTAGCCTTGTGTTTTGGCTAGATTACAGAAATCTTTTTTTTTCTAAGCAAACTTTTCTAGTTAAAGACAGGTTAACAGCTGAGAGGCACTCTTCTGAGATTTAGCTATCCATATCTATGTTCTCACCTACATGCTGCATGTGTTTGCTAAATTGTTTGTGCATGTTTTTCCCATTTAATTGCTTCATAACTTGTGAGATTTTGGTGCTACAATGTATTTGCTGGTTTGCTAACAAATCTGGATGGGTTGCATCTAAGCTCCTTTAATTTGGTTTGACTCATCTTAAATACTGTTTTGCTGTTTACTTTTGGGTGTGTTACATCACCAATTTTGCCATTTGCTCTTGGTGGATACAGCAGATTTTACAGCTTTTTTTTTTTTTTTTGTTTGGTTTTTTTTTTGTTTTTTTTTTTTTTTAGAATTATTTTATCCTTTTTTAATAATTTGAGGATGTATCTTGTGCACCTTTTTAAACCTACGTAATACTGTATCTTTTGTTGACTTACTTGCTCCATAGGTGGTATCTCAACTTGAAGCCCAAATAGCTAAACTGACTGAAACTTTGGAAGATCAAACCAGATCATACCAAGAAGCTCTGGAGAGAAGCAGAAAAGTTGAAAAACAATCTGAGACTTTCCAAGATCAGTTGAAACACTTGGAAGAGGAGCTGCTCTCTTTATATATGATACAAGATGGTTTGAAGCTTGAGAAACAAAAAGTTGGTACACGTGTTATTTTATTTTGCATAAAAATCAGTAAAGTCTGAGATAATATATCTAACTATTGCATCGATCACTTGGGTATTACTCAGCAGTGCAAGTAGTGTGAATTAGCAAAGTAAGGCTTTGTGTAGCAAGTCATAATCTATTTTCTTTAACTGACCGTTCTAGTTGGAAAAGGTGAGTTCAAAATTGATTTAACATGGAGGATGGAAAAAAAAAGGAAGAGATCAAAAGAAAGTCTCTACATATATCAGAAGTCTTTCCAGGTTTTTTTGAATTCAGAGCTTTTTTATGTTTCTGTAATATATCATCTGGTCCACAGTCTATAGAAATCTGCAGTCCTTGGTCCTCAACTGCTGCTTTATTAATTGCATGAAAACACACTGATAGCTTGAAACATATTGGCATACTGAGAATTTGAAAAATGATAGCTGAACAAGCAACCTAATGCAGCTAAGAAAGACAAAGTGCATGGCAGATGTTAGCATATTACCAGGGAAAGATCAATGTTAAGTGAGTTGAATTTGCCAAAAATCAACAGTTTGATGCTGTTTTGTATTGGTCAATGATGCAATAATTTCTGTATGAAGCATCCACCATCATAAGAGCGAACTAGAAAATGGAACTGTTCCTTCCCTTCTGTTTCCTCTGTGAAGAACACGTGGCAGTAGATTCTTAATTTCTCTCAGGATTTTACTGCGATAGAAAGATTTTTCTCCCTTGTTGATAATCAGCTTTGCTGCCACCTTCTGCTGTCTTTTTTACGCTTTTTGAGCCAGAAACATCATGGGGGAAAAAGCCTGATTCTTGCTATGTTTTATCATCTTCAGTTCAAGCAGTAGTTATGAAACTGTTTAACTGTGGTTTTTTTTTTTTTTTTTAACCTGTTATTTATTTACAATGGTTATGATCTGCAACAGAAGTAAGAGAAAACAAAGGCGAGTAGAGTTCTTAGTGAGGATAGCTGTCACTAAGTGAGATGCAGCTGCCCCTTCTTCCTCCTCCCTGTCAGCACATGGTCATAGGTAGGAACTGAGCTCAAAAGTGAACACGTGCACCTCGTGCTTTCTCTTGCTGCAGAGGAGCAAAAGCCAATCTAGTCTGGTAAGAAAATAAAAACATTAGGTCTAAATATTTATGAACAAAAATGTTGCCTATATAAGGACAAGTAAAGAATTTGAAGATTTTTGGGGTGTACAAGTTAAAAATAAATTCTTTTAGGAGTTTGGATATGAGTCTGTTGGCCTTATGTAATTGGTTCCGAGTAGGGGGAATTGCTTTTAAATTATTCATCAGGAATTTTAATGAAATTTTGTTATTCTTTTTCCCACTGTTCCACATCTCTTAGTATATGAAATTTCTGGAACAACTTAATGAAACGATGAAGCTGAATAGCATTGCAGCAGAGGTTGGATTTGATATGAATGTGAATGCAATTCTGGCTCGGGTAGAGCAATTAGTCAAACTGGAAGGTGATGCAGTGATTGAAAACAAGACTGTGACATATAGCCTAAGAAGGAAGGTAAGCAAAAACCACTATTACTTTTTGTTTTCAAGGCAAGACACTGTTATGGCTGGGTTTGCGTGGTGGCTTGCTAAAGGCAAAAGATTGAAACTTCACAAATGTACATGGAATACTAAAGATGTCTATTACTTTACATAAAGAGAAGATAAATATTTGCAAACTATGCAAACGAGTTGCATATCTGAGCAAATAAAAATGCTGCTAGTTAAATGTATGAGACTGTTTTTCTCAGTTTCTTAAAACAAACATAATATGTCTATTTATGTACTTTTAAATACATTATTACAATATACTTCTATAAATAATTCCTATTTATGTTTAAAATTAAAAGTATCTAATGGGAAGGTGTTGATATTTAAATCTAAAAGGATCTGGTGGGAAGGAGGGAATGTTACGCAGCTTCTCTAGAAGCAAGTAGAACACTGTTTTGTACTTCACTAAGAACTGCAGCGTTTCAAGAACTGTGGTCATCTTGGAACCTTGATAATCTGTGCAGATTTATTAGACACCAGTCAGTCGCCCTGTTGTGACAGAATGAAGTCTTCTGATGTTAGGCTTATAGTGGTTTGAAACTTAGAATGAGTTCTATTTAAGGTTTAAAACCACTTCTTTCTTTTTCTTTTCTTTTTTTTTTTTTTCCTTCTTTTTCTGGATATAACTACCTCTCTGAGTTAACACTAACATTCCTCTCAGGGTAAAGCCTGACAAATTCAGTTTTGTAAGCTGAAAATAAGTCACTTCCTGAGCACCAAAATTACAAAACTAAGCTGCTGAATTTTGTATTGGAGTAGTGGATGAGTGTATTCTTACTTCTGTGTGATGAAGAACTCTATTTGCACACTAGCCTTAATAAACTGGTTAAATGTGGAAATATCTTAAACACTGCAGTGGAATCACCGTCTGCCTAAGGAAAGTCTGTTGCATCTTTCATTTGACAAGTTCCTTATATCTGGGACAATCTCTGATGTTCTGAACTATGCACAAGTGTTTCTGTTCAAATAGCATGCGGTCTGCACGTAACTACATTTTAAAAGGTAGTGCTCAAGCTTAGGGATAGTATAAAAGGTACCAAGTTAATGTACGTATGTACATACTGCTTTACAGAAGCAGGATTAGGAGTTCAGCGTAAGCGTGCTGCAAGGAGATTGGATTTACACAACAACCTATGTAATGCCATTTAGTTTCTCTCACACAAATTTCCTTGTGATCATAAAACTAGTTGAAGACTCAGAAAGAAAGACTTGAAAGCAAGGAGTTGCACATGAAACTTCTGAGGCAGAAAATAACCCAGCTGGAAGAAGAGAAACAAATAAGGACATCACTAGCTATGGAGAGGGATGAGGCCAATCTCACCGTCAGAAAGTTGCAAAAGATGATAGAGAGATTACAGAAGCAGCTTGATCTGGCAAGGGAAACGAATACTGATCTCAAAGCCAAGCTGTCTGAAGCCAATGAACTTAAGGTAAGTTGAAACATTACATTTGTGCTTCTACCCATGTTTATGTTCCAACTGGATACAGCTGGAGTTCATTTACAATAAATGCATTAATGGAGAACTGCTAGGTAGAAATCCATGTAGAAAAATAAAAATAATATGACAGTATATTTAGCAATTTGTCTTGATATGTTAAATAACAACTGAAAAATACCATGTAAATATTCAGGTTAGTGTAAGAAAAGTATGATACGTGCATCCCTTTCTTTCTCATCAGCATGTATGTAATCCTGTATTTCCCATGCACTGATCACAGCAAATCTCTTCTTATAAGAGTGGGGAGTATTTTTTTTTTTTTTTTTTGTACTGTAAAACAGGCATGATAAATTTTCATTATTTCCACGTTTTATTACTTTGCAATAGGTGGAAACAAGTACTCTGTGGTTGCTTGTCACCACTGGAAGTAAGGAAGACTTATTTTATACAACAGTGTCTTATAGCTTGTGGATTAAAACAGATGACTTTCAACTGAAAGATTTTCACCAGCCAAAACTATTTTCCTGTATTATTTTCCCAGCAGCTAACGGACAGTGAAGCCTCACTTTGGAGTTTTTTTTCTATGCAGATACATCTTTCTGCAAAACCTGCAGAGAACTAGCTGTTTTTTGAACAATAGTCTGCTGACTGAGTTGACACTGGCCAGTTTGCTTTAATAACTTCTCAGTCCACACATGCATGTCATTTCCTCAAGAATCTGTATTAAAGCGCTTACTACTGATATCCTTACTTGCTCATACTACACAAAATTTGTGGCAAATTTAACATTATTTTACAAATCGCTTGTTGCAGATCCAGACTCTAGAGCAGAACAGAACAATAGAAGAACTTAATAAGTCTCAAGGCAAATTGGAAAGAATGAAGGAAAAAGCTGAGAAACAATTAAACTCTGTCAAATCAGAACTTAATTTAAAGGAACAGAAAGCTACTGAAGAAAAAGAAAAAGCCAAAAATATGTTAGAAGTGGTTTCCAGTGAAATGAAGGTACTTAAAACAAGCCTTGCAGAATTAGCAAAAAGGGAAAGACAGGTAGGTATCCAGCTATTCTACAAGTGTTGGGTGTCACTTTGGACAAAAGAATGTGATGTAGGTGGAGCAGTTATCCAGTTGTGCTGACAACTTGTGTGAATAAGCAAGACAATATTGACTAGTGATTCAAAGAAGCAGAGCTCTTCCAGTTTAAATGCAAGGCAATGAAAAGTAAATATATTGGTTTTTTGTCTTTGTGCACTGCAAAACATTCAGTTTACATCACATTTTGGAGAAGTGTAAAAATGCTTAAAAGTCCTAGTATCTTTAAAGTATGATTTTTTCTGTATATAGTGGTGATAAAGCCTGCTTACTTTTTACCAGGTATATGCCACACAAAGGATTTTTTTTTTTTCTTTTTAAGACAAGTGATATTGAATGCAACTATTTTTAGTTGATTTGTGACACATCAGCGTTCTCAAAGTTTGAGTGAGGAAAAACTTTTTGGTTACTTATCCATAAGAAACACAGTGAGTGCATATAAAAATTATGAGGTGTGAGAAATTGAAGTGGGAGACATGCTAGTAAATGTGTTCCATAATAGTTTCAGTAAATTAGGAAATATGAATGTAATTGCTCCATCATATTCTGTTTAATAAAAACACAGCATTGTTACTAAAGCCAATGGGATATTTACTTAACATCAATAATATGTCATTTTAAGATTCTAATCCCAGTTGCTTAGAACGTTGTCAGTTTTTCTAACTAAAATTCTTATGTTAGTTTCTGGTCTTGACAACAATTCTGGATTATATTTAAGAATGCTTTTTCCAAAGATGAATCTGAAAAAAATACTGTTTTACTCCTGTTGGAACTAAAAAAACAACTGAGGATTTTTCTGGAAGGGTTTAGCATTCTTGTTTTATAATGAATGTTGGAAATTTGGCAGAGAAATATCATTTCTTTGTTTGTCTCACGTGGTAGCTAAGCATCCTGCACACAGAAAAGGGCATTAATTATATTCAGAAAATTATACTGTGTAGTCATACATTGAGTACTTGTTAAAATGACACAGATGTTGAATTTGTACTGAGTAAACATGAGGCTTTTCAGACCACTTGAATGCTATTGAAGTGTTCTTTGGCCAAATGTGAAAAACATGGGAAAAGTGAGGTGGGGTACAAAACGCAGAATGCTTAAGCACAGCAAATTACTAGCTCTTCATTAGCCCAGAAAGCTTGAGGAGGAATATCAGCTTGTATTTCACTGATGTCTGTGGTCACCTGTGTCACAAGAATGTTCCAAACACTTGCAGGTGGAACCACACTGCTAAATGGGGAGCTAAGCTGTTTGTAAAACCTGTGACTGATGCTTATGTAGCATTGATGAAAATTAATGCTATTTTGCTAATAAGAGATCTGTCAGTAATAAGCATAATGTACTCTCCTGCATCCTAACAGTTTACTTACTAAAATGTCTCCTTGAGGTAAACATACTGTTGCCAAGTCAGATAATTACAAACTCTCTTGCTAATAAACACTTCAAACTTCTGAAACATCACCCAAGGAGAGCACCTTCCATACCCCCAACTCAAAGTAATTCTTTATCTGCTTTAGACTTGCTCATTCTTCCTTGCTGTGGACACTAAGCAGGGACAAAACTCTCTCTTGTTCAGTAAAAAGTAATGAATGCAGATGTTAAATTTTTCTCTCAGCACACATGCATGTATTTAGTGAGAATATAAACACAGTATATCTGAATGTGTATGTTAAGAAAGGTACAAGAAACTGAAATTACTGTTGCCTTATGGAACTGTTCATATGCTTAGGTTGACTTGTACATGCATTCTACTGTTTTCTTTTGTGTGTTTTTTTTTTTTTTCCTGAGGATATAATTACGTTTAATTTTGCATCACATTGTAGTATTGAATAGATATTTTCTATTATGTGAAAATTAAAAATATGCAGAACTGCACTACTGCCAACTGCTTAAGACAACAATTGTTCTTGTGCCCAGAACATACCCAAGTGAAAAATAAGGTTCAGGTTGGAGTAGTTGAAAATGAACTGGTACTTGGAATTGAACAGTGTTGAATGTTCTTCACTGTGCTTTAGACTAGTCTAAAGTCTGGAAGATGATAATAAATTAGGAGATGCCATTGACTTTCTTATGGGTAGAGAGGTCCTGAAGAGGCATCTTGACCAATTGGAGGGTTGAGCCGTCACCGTCTGTATGATGTTTAAAAAGAACAAGTGCTGCATTCTGCACCTGAGACAAGGTAGCAGGGATCCTGTTGGGTCCCTCTGACTAAAGATATTCTATGATTCCCGTTAAGTTGAAGAGGAAAAATTACCCTAGGTATTTCTGAATTTAACCAGTAATATGCAGGATAAAACTGAATTTTCACAATAAAAGGGCAAGATACTTCCAGATGAATGGCAATGCCAATTTCTAGGAAGGTTTCAATAACAGATCTTCAGCAAAGGTAATGAATTATTTTAAATAATGTCTTTTAAGGTAGAATGAACAGACACACAGGAATTAACAAGCTTGAAAGGAAGAAAGCAACAACAAAACATGGAAAACTTAGGCCAAAATTTTGGATGGGAAAGGAGACTTTTTAACATTGTGGGTGGAAAGCTGGGATAATCATGTCAAAGTTTATTGAATTCCTCTTCTTTATGCTAAAGACTATTAAATGTTTAAGACTTCTGTGCATTGTTTTTAAGGGTGAAATATATTTCTCACTTAATTGTTTTTTATGTTCTTATATGGTTTAGTACAAGCATTTAAAATTGTTCATAATGTACTTGCAGCATGGCATCTGCATGGGAGTATAAGCACGCATCTTGCTTCACGTACAACACATGATAGATTACAAAAGATCATCCAGCATGTATCTCCTGTTGCTCTAGTTCATAGTTTTTAAAATTCAGATTTATGTCCCCTGGCTGGGCATTCTTATATCTAAGAGTGCTGGCTGTGTTTGTCAGTTTGTGTGAGAATTTCTCTTTGCAGGTAACCTGTTTGCTACATTTCCACAGACGTGTTTGTTTTTGAGACAGTGTTGTTCTGTTAATGTGGAGAAAAAAATCTTCAATTTTAAGTTCACACAAATGGATGACTTAAAGGATTTTTAGGGGCTCTGTGTTCTTTCCTGTTTAGGCTATTTGCTGATGAAAGTTGCTGAATTCTCTCCAGATGTGTTGTTCATTCACTATAGTGAATTAAAATAAATTATCTTTGGCTGGAACACTGCACCACATATCTCCTGGCTTGGAGCTGGGGAACTTGAAGTTCGAATAGATAAGCATATAAGCACATTTCCTTGAAAAGGAACATTTTCCTCTTTTAAATTGTATATGGATCATAAGGGTTGTTAAGGTATCAATCGTCTGGGTGGTGTAATTTCACAGAACATTTAATAGCTATTGAAATGTGACTTATAAGCTGCCTTATCCTGAGCTAAGTAAATCAGTGTTCATATTTGTTTGCTCTTCCTGTTTTTGCCTTTTTATTGTCACAGTCACTAGTGATGATATTTACTTGTGGATGGCTATCCATTTGGAACTGCTAAGAGAAACTGTTTTCTCTAAGTACCTTTCCCAAATTTCTTCACATGATATAATTTCAGTAGCCATGTACGGAAGAGCTATGCATTTATTTCCCAGGTTGCTTGAATTTTTACTCTACTCTGATTCCAAGTCGAAGTGAGATACTGAAGTGTGCAAAGCCTCCACCTTTCTTTTTTTCTTCTGCTGCCATTTCCACGATGAAGTGATGGGTAAAGAGCTGTGGTAGTGAGAGGTTGGGAACCTAAGGTCAGGACCAGCACCTTCCTACATGCTATGACGCATGCCTGCTAGTTTCCAGTTGTCTGTATAGTTAACTAGACCAAATACAGCTCCTCTTCCCATCGGTTCCTCAGTTTTCTCTATTTAATGAGCAGGGAATATATATCTGTGAAAGATGCTAAATAACACTTGAAATTGTGGGTTTTTTTTTTTTTTTTTTAATCCTTAGCATCTCAGCTCTTGTTTCATTGCTTGAAGTATCCCCTAGTCCTTTTCAGCCCTCTGCATTGATGAACAGCAGACATTTCGATATTTTGCACTGCTGCTATAAATGCTTGTGTTTGTATGTATGCACATATGTTTTTTTCCATGTGTTCCTGTTCTTGGTAATTAATGCATTAGTAATTCCTCTCTGTTTGCTCTTGCAGCTGGCAGACTTCCGAGAGGTCATCTCACGGATGCTGGGCCTTGATCTTGCTAACCTAGCTCTGCCTGACTATGAGATCATTACACGTCTGGAAGGGCTGATTCACTTTCATCAGCACCATTTTATCCCCTGCGTCTGTGTCAAAGATGTAACAAGGACAGAAGATGAGTGCTTGGATAGAAACGTACAGTTTCTTCATTGAAACACACATTTTTGAGGAAACTAAAGTCATTTTTTCTTTTTCCCTGCCTACTAGACCAGCATAGAAAATAGGTCTTTATTTTTGTTCCTTCTTCTACAGATACTTGGGCTGATTTTCAGTGTTTCAGAGAGACAGTTAACAGCCAGCATCCTAGGGAAAGCAAACATATAATATTTTAGACATGAAAATGATGGGCAATATGTGAAAAATGAACAGCTTTCCAATTCCAGTGCAGAGTCACTGATGGCATGAGCTACCAGAGATCTGTTAACAATTTGGGCAAATACTAGCTGGTGAACATCAGCATTTGTGATGTTCCTTGTGCTTTACTTCTTGGGTGACAGTGATGAAATGAAGTGGGGGCCATCCAGTTGCTATTTCTTTTGCAAAATGGGACTTCTCTGTGCCTTTTTATGCATAAGAACTTCGGTTTCAAGGCACCTGGAAAGCTGGCTGAGGGCTATCATGGTTTTGGAAAAAGGGTTTTTTTTCTGTCATTTTTTTTCTTTAGTCTGCTCTTGAGTAAGAACAAAAAGTTATGCTTTTTCAGCAAAGGCTCTTTCACAGACTCCAGTCACATGCCTGGCATAGATATACAGTAGAATTATCTATAGTAAAATTGCGTCATGCCACTTTGAAAGTGTTTCTTGTACCTGCTGTGCTCCTTAGACAATTAATCCATAGGCCAAATAAGCATCAGTTCTGACTTAATACAAAGGTATTAAAAATACCCTCATCCATTACAGAAAATAGTTTCTAGTCTTGATTTTTCAGAAAAACCCAGATGATATGTCCAGAATTACCTTTTAATCATAAAAGCTGCTTGTCTATTACCCTTCCTGATTGTTAAACTTCATGATTTTAAGACTTTCAAACAATAAATATATTTTAATAGTGCACTCAAAAATGATTCCGTGTTTCCAGTTGTCTCTTCCCATTATATATTCCATGCGGATAAGTAGAACAGTACAGATGACTTACCTATGTATATATGACCATGGTGGACTTCCTACAGTATCTCAACAAATAATCATTCACTAAAACTGAGCACTATACTAAGACAAATGAGACTTTAAGAAGAAAAACAAAACAAAAAAAAAATTACATTATTTTACAAAAGAATATTGAGATCTGGCTATGAACTTGGAATATTCTAGATTGCTTTTATTATTATATCTCTGAAGAATCATTTCTCAGTGACTTGGCTTACAAAAAAAAAAAAGCCATGAAAATATCCATTCTTTTGTGTCATCAATGGTTTTTTTAGGAAATGTAATAATTTATCTTTATGCTCCTATGTCTACTTGGATTAAAATCAGTTCTCTTTCTTGTTTTAGAATGCAACATTGCTTTTCGGGTAGAGTTTAATAGAAGGAGTAATGACAAAATTGAGTAGGCTTAAATTTATGAAAGCACTGCTTTCCAAGTACAATAAATTGAAATGTAAATACTTTCACGCATTCTGGAAAAGGATGTAGAAATTTGCTAATTACATGAGAAAACACAAGTGTGTGTTTTGCTGATTCTTAGGGCATTCTATTGTTGTAAGTAACCAACAAATGTGTGTTCTTCACATGCATTAAAAATATAAAAAATATGTTTATCACATTGTACGCATTTAATAAACTGCATTAAGAAATTAGGTCCAGTCAGTCCAGATAACAGCTGTAACTTTAATAGTCTCTGAGCTCGCAAATCCTAAAGTATATGTGCATATTTGGCCATAATTCATGGTTAAGTTAGATGATTTCCTAACGTCTGCAAAGAGGCTTCCAATCTGCTGCCATGTGCCATGATCCTGTATTCTGCCCTCCCATGACTGCTGTGGCACCAGCTGTCACCTTCCAGCCCCACCAGAGCCACCAGCAAAGTTCTCCCAGTTACTTCAGAGGAGGTGGGTATTCACATGAAGCTGATGGCAGCAAAGCTTTCTTGCTCTCTTCTACGCAATGTCAACAGAAAGTAGAATAAGGACTTTTTTATAGTTCAGCATTCATATTTCAGAAAATAGGATCTAATGTAGTCCATCAAGGACTGTAAGCTCACAGCTGATTGTTAATATTCCCTATATTTGCATTGCTTTTGGAGGAGCAAAGTTGTTTGTTCCTTTATCCAAAGCAAATAGCAAAAAATAGTTTGATGTGAACAAAGTTCAGGTGATTTTTGGCCTGTGTAATGTAATTAACCACTGATCAAAGTTAAAACTGACTTACAAATTTCTTTTTTAAGGTTTGTTTTATACAGTTTGTTTTGAAGGTAGTCATCCTTGGGGAAAAATTAACATTTGATTCATACATTTTTTTTTTCCAAACCAATGAGAATGTGTTTCAGGCCATGCTGGCAAACACCTGCTTTAACTGCATCATTATTGTTGGTGGGTTTGTTTCTATCAATCACAAGTACGGGATAAAGAGTTTATCTTAATTTCTCTTTTGCTTTGTTAGTTTGCTTTTTGCTTTTACTGGAAATACATGTTAAAAAATTGTAACAGAGAGAGATGATAGAAAAATTCTCCTAGATGCCATATTCCCCAAAACTTAAGTCATATAAAATTGTACTAAAATTGTACTTTTGAAAATATACTTCTGAAGTTGACCATTTCTGTTGACTGTAAAAAAAAAAAAAAAAAAAAAAAAAAAAAAAAATAGAGAAATGAAACAAAATGAATTGGAATTAACTATGGCTTCAGAAAAGAAAGATCTCTTATTTGGCTTCCTGTAATCCAATAATATCACAGTTTATTTAAAATGACTTAACTGTGTGGAAAATAAAAATTGGCAGGAATGTTCAAACAGATTTTCAAATGGTAGACTTCAGATTACTTTGCTCTTTTGCTGGAATAAGCAAGAATCTTGTAGAGCAGTGTTTGTTTTCTGGAAGGAATGAAGGATGAGTTTATAAAACCGTACTCATAATTATTCAAGAATAAGTGAGTCAGAAATAAAAATCTGTAAATGACAATTTTGCCTGAACAACAACAACAACAAGAAGATGACTTTTCTGATAAGCTTAACATTAACGAGTCATGAGGCAAAGGACAACACTTGTTTTGAGATAAATAAAGCTGCTCATATGCATTTGCTCAGTTTGTATTCCCTGTGATTGCTTACGCTTTTGCAAAGTAGGAGAAATAAGGAAAATAGTATCGCATTGTGAGCAAACGAGGTTTGAGCTGTTCTATCCCAAGCAGAGAAATCCATTGCTAGAGGGCTTGTGCAGTCCTGAGGATGATAGTAGAGACGGTGGGGGCTAACTGAGCTGCAAACTGGGAACTGTAGAGGATTAAGTCCCAGAGGAGCGTATGTAAAGAGGTATTTTTGTTAACTGATGAGGTGCGAATTCACAGCTTGTTTTTTCCTTGGAAATCACGAGGCTGCCTGCTAAGTGCGGTTCCTGAACTGGCAGTGTCCCCACCGGGCAGCAGATGAAGCCCATAGGTGAGGGTGATCAGTTCAGGCTGTGTGTGTGGGTATTTATCTGCCTCCCTGCCTGCTGGCAGCCATGCGCAGCTGCGCTGCTCTCGAGCCACGTGCGGCAGCTCTGGTTACAAAACAAAGTGCGGCGGCATCTGTTGGACGCCTGAGGGTCTTTGGTGTTTATATGAAGAGTGCGCTGGGCCAGCAGAGCTGACTCAACGTTTTTCTCTCCTGGCCAAGTTTCCATACCATGGAGAGTAATCTGGCTGTGGAGAGAGGCCAGGGTGAAGTGGTGAAGTGACAGCAGCAAACTGATGCAGATGTTTGTGAAGCAGTCCATAGTCACTATTACAGAGGTACTATGGCCACTAGAGTAGGTGAAGGAACCCTGCAGGTTGTGGTACGAAAGTCTCTTAGAGACTTCTTAGGAGATTGGTCTGAGCCAGGCTGCACAAAGCAGTGCTAGACTACTGCTAAAATTATTGTGGCATCGCTGGTGCATAACCATTTTGATATTGCTTGATTTTACATGCACTTATAACAATACTTACATGGTGCAGTGCATGACAGTATTAGCTAGAGTATTAGCTAGGTCTGGAGAGCATGGATTGAGAACAGTCAATTAGAGGATGGACAGCAATGTTTGGGAGTGTCCATTAGGAATGAAGGGAACTTGTGAGGTTCGTGCAAACCTGCAGTCGTTGGTGATTTGCAGCTGCTTTTGAGGGTTTGTGGAAGGATGAGTCAGTGTTTGAGATGCATCTTGCAGGAACGGAGCTGAAATGGATTGACTTCATGTGGCTAAAAATATACTTGAAAATGACTTCTTTTACTGTGAGCAACTGTTCATTGCAACAGTTCAAGCTAGCAGGCCTGAAATGCCATGTATCAAAAAAGAATAAATATTTAAAAAACTGTCAGTAAACACAGATGCATTTAGGCTGATGACCTAAGCAGCAAATAATGTTATGAGATCAGTATCTGTTGCCCAGAATAACTATTTGGTGATAAATCTTAACTGCAAAGAACTTCTGATCTGCAGATAGGCTTTGGGATAGAAATAGGAGAAGCTGGAAACCCTTGGAATTCTGCCCTTGATGCAGAAGAAAAAAGGGAAGCTGGAGCAGAAGGGAGGTGGAGTCCTGCCTGAGGACTGTGGCCCAGTGGGAACTCGAGGTGAGGCAAGCAAGCCTCCCTTCAGCATCATGAGGCTGGAGGAATGGCAAGGACTGTGCTGCTGCTTAGAGCTGGCCCATTCACACGCAACATGCCTTACTAGCAAGGATAGAGATTCTGTGTCCTTCATTAGAATATCCACTTTTTTTTTTTTTAGAATGGCATTTTTATTCTTAAACAGTAATTTTCAAATGTTGCTAATGTATTTTTTTTTTTAATACCGTCTTTGTGGTGTGCGAATCAGGGATTATATTCCTCCAAAGATGTTCCCTCTCTGTTTTTCCTAAGAAACACCTGACTGGTTTGAGAGTTCAGTTTACATCTGTATCTATAGCATCTGTATCATTGCCTGCAACACAATTTGATGCTTCTCTTTACAAACCTTGGCTTATATATATTTTATAAACCCCCTCCCACCCCCCATGTGTCACTGCTGCCACTGTAAGCCTTACAAGCATTAACGCTTGGTGGCACCGCAGTTGCCTGCTGCACCCCATGGTGGCAGGGCACTGGGCTGGACCACCCTACAGTGCTGGTACCTGCCTGCCTGCTCGGGCTGCCAGGGAACAAATCTGCCAGAGGCACGACTACAACATTGATTATTCTGTTTGAAAAACGGCAGTGTGTTCAGAGAGTGACTGCTTTTGTGTGACAATTGTGAAGGAATTGCCTTTCCCACTGGAAGAAATTCTGACCTGCTCCATTCCAGTAGTGGCTGAAGGTGGGGAGAAGCAAGAGCATGAAGATGTCGTAGGTGTCATGCGTTGCTGCTGCCTCAGTGAATCTGCCTGGCTTTGGTTGGTTGAACAACTTAATTGAAATTCTCATTTCAGTAAGTTATTCATTCCAGAAGGTCTGAGGAGCTGAGAATCTTATGTCTCTCCTCTGTTGGTGAATTTTTTTTAATAGTTTCTAAATGAAACAGAATGCTCTTCCATGAAAGGTAATTATAACGATACTGTCACAAAGACTTGCTCCACAACACAGTTACATTTCATAAGTTAATGCTTCTTGCAGGAAGAAAAAATAATTGCCACATCCTTATCAACATCACCTCACAAAATATATAATTGCAATTTGTTCTGCTCCTTTAAAAAGGAAAATTCCATGAATGTTAAAAATTCTTCCCTTTTACAAATGCCAGTGCTCTAATAGACAGCTATTTATTGTTTGCCCACCTAAATCCTGCGACTAAGCCATCTTCATTGCAGTTACACGTGTTTAATGGCTTAACACTTGTGTAAAACTTTGTGAATATCAGGATTTCCCTTTTAAAAGGTGTAGGAGATATTTTGTTATATACTTTGGCCTTTATTCGTGTTATTCATGTCTGTGTGAACTTACATATTTTTCTGTGACAAAAAAATATTTTTTTTATAACAGGAGGATGTGTCTTCCTGTTTGAGTTCCAAGGCTTTGGTTCTGGGGAGGCTAAGTCCTGAAGTTCCAAATTCTATGTTTAATGGGAAGGCAGTTACAGTTACTTACCCACCTTTACAA